TTATCTTTAGGACAAAACATAATAACAGTAATTTAAATTTCTTAATTTATAAATTTAGAATTCAATAAATAAAATGATACTATTTTGAAATTTGGTTTGAATTCAGTATTTAAATATAATTAATTTAAATTGATAAGACATGATGTAACACTAAACTAAGAATTTGCATCTAATATTAGAAAAATGTAAGAAGTATTATCATTTTAGTGTAAAAATTAAATTTGTATGATATTTTTAATTTGTGTTTAACATTATATAATATTATTATCTGTAGAATATATTAAAATAGATTTCTAAGATGATGCTATAAGAACATCATTTATTATATTTATTGATATTATTTGATAACCTAATTAGTTTTAATCCAACAATTCATATGAAACACTAAATAAATCATTTTCCATTTATAAATTTTTAGATAAATCAAAAAATATCAAAATATTCTCAATTGAATTATAAATGACAAGTATGCTTTAATTAGATTTAAAAAATTAATTAAAGAATTTTGTGTTATCAGGCAATTTGATTGTTCTATTTTAACCGAAGTAATCATATATTAAAATAGATTCAGATATTAAACAAAATTATAAATTAATATATTAGCATCGATTTAATTAAATATTAGATACTACTTAAATTGGTTCTTTTAAAGATCCTTAACAAATATTGCTAATACGTAAATTGTTAATACTACCAAAAATCATATCTAAATTTTTAATTTCATTCTAATTATTAAGCAATAATAAATGTTATTGAATATCTAGCTTATATCTGAGATTGTTATCATCATTAAATCCATAAAAAAAGACATTAAGGCTAGATGGAATCGATTAAATAAAGGATTAAACTTTAAATTTAATTTAAGATTTTATTATAGCATAATCAGAAGTAGTAATACATTTAATGTTAATGCTGTGAGTTGGATAATATATAATAATTTTATCTATCAAAATTTAGATTAATACTCCATTTTCATCAATCAGTTCAAAACTTTTTAAATTAGGTAATATTTGATTAATTTACCTTAAACAAGATCTTCCTTATTAAGTAACATCATATATAAAAAGATATTATTACTCATTGTTTATTGTAATAATACCAAATATTTTTCCATAAAATTTAATGTTAATTGGTTAAAGGATTTAAAATTCAAATAATGGCATTTAATAAAGTAAGAAGATATCATTTATATCAAAGAAATAGAGTAGTAATTATAATTAATTCTCCTTTTTTACTATAATTAAAATTCTGAGATGAGATACAAATATATGTGATACGATAATCTATCCATCTATTGTTATTAAAATATCATTGTGATAAGGGATTACTGATTTCACTTATATTGTAGAATCTTCATGATTAATATATAAATATGGGACTCTAAAGTCATGATAATATATTTCTTGATTTTTTGTCCAAAAATCTCTAATTTCTTTCTTCTTTATTTAATAATATTCATATAGATGATCACCTTAATATGCATAAATTGTATTATCATTTAAAAGTAGTATTAATTTTATTAAATCAAATTTATATTATTTTATTTTATTTTTAGGTTTAATTTAGTGAACAAATTTTAAATCCTTTTTATCAACAATCATATATTTCATAATAGATTCACTAGTAATTAAAAATATCATATAATCAGATACTATTATTCTATATTCTATTGATAATTCTTATGTTTTAGTGATTAATAAAATATTCTATTCATTATTATTATTTTTTATGTTAATAAATATTTTATGATTTTTATTTTCATAAATTATAACTACAAAGTTCATTTCTTATGAAATTACTTTCAAAATCTATTTAATTTATAAATTTATGTGATGAGTAATTATTGTTTAATTTTTATATTAAATATGAAAGTTATCTTAATTAATTTCTAAATCTAAATAGAAAGGAATATATTAAAAAAGCATATTAATATCAATTTTAATGTTATTGTTGATGACATCATTATGTTAAATAGAAATACTGTCTATAGTAGGAATCTTTAAAGGATAATTAATAGAATATTATTAGGTTTGATGGTAAAAGAGTATTAAATCATTGATATACTTATTTTAGCGTTTCAGAAATATGGCAAAAAATGGTAAATGAAGATATTAGATAAATCTGTCAAAGCATATGATTTTATAAAAAGTAATTTGATTGTTCTTATGAAGAGTGACTAAATAAGGTAATGTATTTAATTATTAAATTTGTTTTACATTTTAAATAGATTATTCAAAAAAATAATCCTGCAATAAAATTGCCTAATCTTTGAATACGAAAAGACAAATTTGATCAAAGATTTAAATTGTTTTAATCTATGAGCCTTTATAAATCATCATATCAAAAATAGGTGAAAGATTGTCTATGTTCATCTTTATTTAAAATAATCCTCGAATCACAAAAGGAAAACAAGATCCTTAAATATATGGTAACCATTAATAAAATGAATCATATAAATGTGTAAATTATTAATCCTCGAAATTAAAAATACACATTTAATTAATAAAACTTAATAGTAGAATATTAGATTCACAAATTTTTAGATCAATTAAATTAATTTCATTAGGAAAATTATTTATTTCATGTAATTTTGTATAATTCTTATTAAATTAAGGTGATTAATCTATATATAATATTATATCAACAATTAAAATGATTGATATTTCACAATTAATAGAATTAATTATTAATTTATTAAATTGAAATTTAGAATCATATTTACAATTGTAATTTAAATTGATAATTAATTCATCTAAAATTTCACTTTAATCATCTAAAATAAAATATTAAAATTAGTTGATAGAGTTTTGACATTGAATAAAGTATGAATTATTTTAAATAAGAAAAGCATTATAACATGATTTTGAAGGTATAAAAATTTAGTTTGATTTTATTTCACTTATAATAATACCTTCATTGTATAAAGTATTATTTATTCTAAGAATACAATCTATTATTTAATTTTATAAATAACAAATATCAATATAATTTCCATATTGATATGTGAATTAAAGTAGAATTGCATCATCATCTAAAATTACATTAAGTTCAGATTATTTTTCTAATAATTACAAAGAGGAAGAATTTTTAAGTTTTCCTAATAAATCTTCATTATCTTTGTATGGGATTGCAAATTTATTTGATTCAAGATAATACCTTTCATTTTCCAAAAAATATAATTATTATAATTCCTAAGATTAAACTATTGTAATGTTATTCCTACAGTAACTACAAATGAGATATGATAAAAGACTTACAAAGTAGTGTATAAAATTCATTTTGATTATTTGTTATTAAATATTTTTAAATTGATATATATATATATAAATAGTTCATGAAAATTTGAAAAATATGTTATTCTAAATTTATATATGTACATGATATAAGTTTTATGATTAATAATTATATATTTACATTAATATAATTAGTTAAGATGTTATAAATAAAATTTGATAAGTGGGTTAAAATAAGGATTGGTGAACCTATAACTGCTTTTGATGTTGATAATAACATGATAATCTTTGGAGCTATAAGTGGATATATAGGATAGTACCTTTATAATTAAAATGAATTGAGATACATACCTGATGTATTTGAGGAGATCATAAGAGGAGTGAGTAAATAATTATATAATCAAAAGCAATTGAAAATGAGAAAGTATACATAGTTGTAGGAGATGTATATGGTTACATTTTTGATTATCAAATGAGAGAGAGTCATCAATGGAAATTTGAAAGACCCCATTCTCCTCCACTTTGTAGTTCAACCTTATCTTTATGTTATAAAACTAAAACATTACTCTTATCTGTTGCACCAACACAAAATAAAGATATTGGAGTGGACATTTCTACAAAAAAGAATAGTTTATATTTGTTTGATTTGCAAAATTAGGATAGTAATACTTATTATGCAGATATGCCATTATTATAAGTTCCATTTGATTTCAAGGGAGATCAATTATTAATGTTAGAGTATCTGAAAGAAGCAAAGAAGAAATTGTAAGTATTAAATTTGAATAATTAACCTTAAATAATCATTCTTTTGGATATTGATCCAAAAATTGAATATATATCACATGGAAGGTTTATAAAGAATGGTATCTTGTTTGTTGAGAATCATAAGATTGTTAAAATCTATAATCCTATTGAGAAATCATAAAAAGTCATCAAAATAACTAAACAATAAATTGTGGCTCTGGATTATCATGAAAATGATCTAACTCTATTAGAATATGATGGTACAGTCACAATAATGGTTAATGAAGAATAAATAATTTAATTTAACATTTTGAAGTAATTTTTTATATTATTATTTAAAAAGGGTTGTGTAAATACCTTAAGAGTTAGTAAAACATAAGTATTTATTTGACATGGGCTATCCATATTATATTAAAAAAAGAGAAAAGAGAATTGTAATTTCCCATGACTTAGGACTGCTCTCCTTTACTTTATAAATGTGAATCATCAAAATAATATAAAGAAATCAATTTTATTTAATTATTGATCTTTATATCTATGTCAAAATCATGCTAATTGTTTTAGAAATAATTTAGCAATTGCAATTTCTTATCCTATTCATTGTTAATTCTACTTTTTAATAATTTTTTGGTTTATTCAATATCTGAAATTGTATAGATTAGACAGAAATTAAATGTATAGATATACAATGTATAGATTACTTAATTAGTAAAAAATAAATTAGTAATTCAATTAATTAAAATTGTTTCAATTGAAAAGATGGATATTGAAGAAGTGAAATGATGATTGAAGATTGTTCATTAGTAAAAGTAGAATGGGAAATCTATAAAATGTTAGATACAAATTATTGTGTAGTATTAACTGACAATAAATGTTTTAGTATATATAAATTATTTATTATGAATGGTACATCTGTTAATTATTTTTATGAAGAGTGCAATTAGGATATCAGGATTAGTATATGTAATGAAAAATGAAGTGATCTGTAAGAAAAAAACTGCAATGGTTCAATAAAGAATTTGAATGGAGATAGTATAATTTGCTATTTGGGATAATGGTTTATTGTAAAAGATAATATTAACTGATGATTTATCTGAAATGGATTGTTATATTACATGATTACCCTTTTAAGTGTATATATCAACAAATGGATAGAACACCTGGAAAGATGGATAATGCTAGGAATGTAATTCATTAAGAAATTTAGTAATACTGATAAAATATTTAATAAATAAAATATTGAATTATAAATTTCTGATCATTAATTATAAGTATCAAATCATAAATATGACTAATGTGGTGATTAAAGCAAATACAATTTAAGAATAACAAGGTTTACATTCTCCTCCAGTAGAAGTAGAAACCCATCTAGAAGTACCCAAAGTCATTGTATAACAATTTCCTTATCCTAATCCTCCATAATTTTAAGCAGTTTAACATTTCCCTGTTGTAGAATCCCAACTACATAATTGGTAATAACCTTTATAGATGACATCCAAAACATAAGTGCAACTCTACTAGGTTGTGTAATCACTACATAATAATTAGGAACAAGTATTGCTAGTATATTTACATCCATATGGGGCTGTAGCACATTCTTATTAATTTAATGATGTGCAACTTTATGCTGCTGTACAATTTGTGTCATCTCTCCACATACATATTCCATTTTATGAGATATATCCCTCACAATACTATTTAGCAATGAAGTGTGAACAAGAATATAATTGATTTGAAGAACCACACTTTGTACCATCACTGAATGGACAATTATTTGAAATTTACAAACATTACTTTTAAGTTGATCCTTAAAATTGACTACAGAAGGTAAATGGCTTACAAGAAGTTCCACTTGATGTTGTTGTCCACATACATTTCAAATTAGCAGCACATGCTTTAGAATCTGTTATCTTATCACAATCTAAAGTAGAACATGAACTTCCATTCCATGTACATTAGGGTCCCATAGCTGTACAATCACTCTAATAAGATAATTATTCACAAGTGCATTAATTTGATAAATAGAATTATCCACTACTTCCTAAACATCCAATAAAGAATAGAGATATGACGATTTTGATCATTAAATTTAAATANGGTACATCTGTTAATTATTTTTATGAAGAGTGCAATTAGGATATCAGGATTAGTATATGTAATGAAAAATGAAGTGATCTGTAAGAAAAAAACTGCAATGGTTCAATAAAGAATTTGAATGGAGATAGTATAATTTGCTATTTGGGATAATGGTTTATTGTAAAAGATAATATTAACTGATGATTTATCTGAAATGGATTGTTATATTACATGATTACCCTTTTAAGTGTATATATCAACAAATGGATAGAACACCTGGAAAGATGGATAATGCTAGGAATGTAATTCATTAAGAAATTTAGTAATACTGATAAAATATTTAATAAATAAAATATTGAATTATAAATTTCTGATCATTAATTATAAGTATCAAATCATAAATATGACTAATGTGGTGATTAAAGCAAATACAATTTAAGAATAACAAGGTTTACATTCTCCTCCAGTAGAAGTAGAAACCCATCTAGAAGTACCCAAAGTCATTGTATAACAATTTCCTTATCCTAATCCTCCATAATTTTAAGCAGTTTAACATTTCCCTGTTGTAGAATCCCAACTACATAATTGGTAATAACCTTTATAGATGACATCCAAAACATAAGTGCAACTCTACTAGGTTGTGTAATCACTACATAATAATTAGGAACAAGTATTGCTAGTATATTTACATCCATATGGGGCTGTAGCACATTCTTATTAATTTAATGATGTGCAACTTTATGCTGCTGTACAATTTGTGTCATCTCTCCACATACATATTCCATTTTATGAGATATATCCCTCACAATACTATTTAGCAATGAAGTGTGAACAAGAATATAATTGATTTGAAGAACCACACTTTGTACCATCACTGAATGGACAATTATTTGAAATTTACAAACATTACTTTTAAGTTGATCCTTAAAATTGACTACAGAAGGTAAATGGCTTACAAGAAGTTCCACTTGATGTTGTTGTCCACATACATTTCAAATTAGCAGCACATGCTTTAGAATCTGTTATCTTATCACAATCTAAAGTAGAACATGAACTTCCATTCCATGTACATTAGGGTCCCATAGCTGTACAATCACTCTAATAAGATAATTATTCACAAGTGCATTAATTTGATAAATAGAATTATCCACTACTTCCTAAACATCCAATAAAGAATAGAGATATGACGATTTTGATCATTAAATTTAAATAAAATTATTTATATTCTGCATTTAATCAAAATTTCCATTTCAATTCAAATAATTAAGCAATATTCCTTTATACATGAATTTCTAAATCATCTCTCCTCTAATATCTTATTAAATATACAATATTACACTATATTTATTTAATATATGTAAAATGTCAATATAAATTTATTCCCAATAAAATCAATATATATAAAAATATAATTCATATTTATATTATATTTAATCTGAAAATAAAGACTTCTAATAATTAATACTATTCTTAATTCAATAATTCATTATTATTTTTACATTCTTTTGATCAATCATCTTTATTATTTAAATTTTGTTATAATTTACATTAATATTGTTCTATAAATTCCTATCTTTATTTCCATACCAATCTACTATTTTATATCTATTAGACTATCTACTATTTTATATCTATTAGATTCTCATATCATAAATACTTCAAAATCTAAATTTCAAATATTTTCACAATTTCATCCTTTATGATATTGTCTTAGATAAATATTGAAGATTGTCAAATTACAGAATTTTCTTAAAACAAGTAGTTGTAAGGAATTAGGTCTATTGACTTCAAATCTTAAAGTATTAAAGTTCTTATTGATTTTCAATATAATAATCAGATTAAAATATTTTAAATGACTACTTTAATTATTTTGAATAGATTTCATAAATTGGGTACTGATTGAACTTAACTACTAATCTTATGGTTTAGTTAGTAATTGTGAGTATATACATATAATAAACAATTAAATTATATGGTATAATGAATTTCTCTATTCTCTAGATGTGATACATTAATCACTCTTTATTTTATAATTACTTTGACTATTATTCCAATGTAAAGTGTTAATATATTTTTATTATTTCTTTTATAATTTTATAAATTTAATTGAAGAAAAAAAGAAATTAGAACTTAATTTTAGTTCGCTTTTTATGAAGTATTCAAGATTGATCCAATACATAAGCTTGATGAAATTTGGCTTTGAATTCATTATTAAAAATGGTACTCTCAAATGATGGGACATTTGAACTAACTTTTGTAGATCCTTTTAGACAATGCAAAGGAAAGCCTTTAGAGTACAAGCATATAATGACACCTGAAGGAATTTGTGTCATTGGAGAAGTAGATTAACACTTCATTCTCAATGTAGAATGTAAGGACAAAGGAGTATATGGCATCAGAGTTATTGTGGATGGGTATACTTTACCTGGAAAGAAGACTTTCAAAAGTAAGTGTAAAATACAAGGTTTCACCAATCCCGAAGGCAATATTAATTGCTTCAAATTCTAAAGACCAAAATCAGACCCAGAATCTACTAATGTTTTCAAAAGAAATGTATATAGACCACCATGGGATTTGAATCAGAATGATTATCGTGACTATCCAGGAGGTGCTGGTGAAATTATAGTCAAAATCTATGAAACAAAATAAGAGGAAAATACATAAGGAGGAGGTGGTGGAGGTGGAAGAGGAGGAGGGGGACCAAGAAAATCCTAGGATCCTATGTTTGTAGAAGTGACTAAGAATGAAAGCAAATAAGCTCAAGATTAATGTTTAGGTATTTCATAAGGAAATGTAATTGAATTGCCACCAAGATAAAATTTTGATGATTCCAGACCACCAAAACCATTTAAGGATGTAATTGTTTATGAACACATTGTTTAATCCTTCAGAGTCATATATTTTGATACTGCAAGTTTAGTTGAGAAGGGATATGTTAAATTGAATTGTCATAATCACATTACTTATTTGACTGAAGAATTCTTTCAAGGAAATGAAGCTGCTTTGATATAAGTCTTATAAACTCTTATTGAGAGTGGACAGAAGGATAAAGAAGAGTAGGATATTCAATAGACAGCAAATGTTCTAGTTGAAAGATTGGATTATTTCTTTACAGGAGAACTATTGAATGTCTTTTTGAACAAGGAAAATCAAGAATAAATGTAATTAGATCCTGGTTAAAGGGCTTAGTATTTGGAAAGTGAACTAATTAAATTTATGGAAGGTTGGCCTGATTTCTTTTAGAATTTAGGAATGGGAGCATTTGGAATAAAAACAAAATATGAATAGAAAATATATATTGATAGGATTTAAGAGAAAGTAATCAATAACCCAATAAAAAATGGAAATGAAATATAATAATAATGATATAATTTATTATTATTAATCTAATAACATTAACTATCTATGCCTTAGATTTCATACAATTATCTACAATATAATGTTCATGTGCATAAATGATAACAAAAGATGATTGTTTAAGATTTAATTGTAAAATCTCACCATACTAATAATCATAATAAAAAATCAATCTTGATAAAACTGCATTAAAGAATAAGACTGCCTTATCTTTAGGTGTACCAGATTTCAAATGTACTGCATTATTTTGTTCTGATATCAAGACTCAAGAACTTTGTGATAATACAGGTGAATGTGTCTGGAATAATAATGGTGTATGTGAAATCTTTTCTGGATGTGGATCATATTAAGTTGATAAAAAAGAAGATTGTTTTTTAAAAAGTACATAAACAAAGTTTTGTACATATGATGAGGAATAATAAAGTAATGGGAAATATAATTGTATTAATGATCTATCTAAATCAGGAGGAAGTTTTATGACATGTTTCACTTTAAATAATGAGAATCTATGTAATCAATACGAATATGCTGTATGTACTTGGAGAACATTTTAATAATGTTAAGATGAATCTGATGAAGTTAATTTGTGTTAGTAATATCAATATTGTATTGGTGAAGAAAGTAAGGATTGTGCAGATCTTTCAGGATTTTAAGATAAGTGTGATAAAAGAGAAAATTATTGTAAATGGGTAAATGATAATAGTACATGTATGGAAAGAGAATGTTCTGATTATACATCTGAAACTGATTGCAAAAGCATTTTAACAGATGATTTAAAAAGAGCTAAACCTTGTACATGGGAAGAAGGATTATGTATATAAGGATTTAATTTAACTAAATTAAATAAATACAATTGTTTGATTGATTCATTGAATACTTCAATGTGGAATGAAGTTGAATAGAGATGTCAAAGTTGTAAATTTGAAAAAATATTGAATTTTATTATTATTGTATTGATATTATTATAATGAATTAATCATCTGATTTATTATTATTAGCAAAATAAAGAGTCAATGAAAAAAAAGGATAAAAAACTTAGGATATATTTTGTACTTAAATAAAATAGAAGAAACAAATAATAACTGATGAAGAAGTTTAGATTGATCCAATTTCATATGAAGAATTTGATGATCTCAAATAATTACGTAGAATGATAAGATAAACAGATCATTCAATTAATTAATATGGAAAAGAAGTGAAATAGCTATAAAATGACATTAAAAGATTAACTAAATGATATTATGTTTCAATATTTTTATTTGAATTCTACATTTAATTACTATCAATCTCATTAAATTCTAATGATTTTCAATTATTCTATTACAATAGTATTTAGTTATGATAAATCATTCAATTACAACAATATTTTCACCAATAAATACATAATAATTATTTATGATTATGTTAAATTGCTACTATTTTAATATATTTAAATTGAGTAATATTATTTAATTTATTTGTAAAATTTCTAGTGAAATATGCATTTTATATTGAAATTGATAATTAAGAGTCAAGTCTATTGAATACTATAAGGGATGCTATAATATGATATATAGATTCATATTCTTTAAGTCTTCCTAGACAAAGATTCAGTTATTTCTAAATATACTGAATAGTGTAGAATGGATATCCCAAGATAATTTTTCTGTAATCTGTTTATAAAATGAATTGAAAGATCTGAAAATAACAATTGATATGTCATTAATTATATAAGATGGAAAAGTTAATAAATATATTTGGTTTCAACAAGATTTAAAATATTAATACAATGGGATCCATTTGTTTAGCGAAACAACAGAATTTCGCTTCTATTTCTTAAAGTGACATAGAAGTCGCTGAAGAATAAGCTATTAGTGATCAAATGAGCACTATGTCATGCAATTTCATTTCAACTTTAGAACTTCAGTTTAAAAGTTCATAGTAATAAACTCAAATTGAACAAAAACAGACCAAAAAACTTACATCAGAGTTATCATAATTGAGTCAATAAACTGTGAAGAAAGGAATTTTAAAGAATAAAAACACCTATTATGAAGAAGAGTTAAAATTGCTTTCAAAGACAATAAAATTTAATCAAGAAGACATTCATTGCGAAAAACTAGTGAATTATTTAAAGGCTCGTAAATAATAAGGGTTATAAGAAATACATTTATGATTTTTTCATATATTCTTACTTAAATTTATTTAACATTGATAAAATCATTATATGTATATAAGCTATACTCCCTACTTATTTATTCATGTTGTTTTTGTCCTATTTTAAGACATATGAAATCTTAATCATAAAATATTCATCTGAATTTTGATCAGTTAAAAAAGGAAGATAGACTAAGCAACACATATAATTCTATAATTATTTAAATACATAGTGATAATAGAGAATCATTGTTCTTTTAATATATTTAGACATATCTAATTAATCTAACTAATATTTGGAGTATAAAATTCAAGAACAGAGTTTCATTTACTAGGTTTAACTGTATAACGTGTAAGAAAGCAATTATATGAGAAAAAGAATTTTCCTTGAAAGTGAGATAAACATCATTGTTGCTTACTAATCAAAGTTCTCTTTATCATTAACAGAATCAGCATAGAAATAGACTGGATAAATATTGATTAAGTTGACTAATTGATTTTCAATTACTTTAAAGTCATTATTATTATATATTTTATATATAAATCACATCAATCTATGTCTAATAAGAATGTTTTCTATATTCTCAGTGCTACACATTAAATTTACACTTTGTTTGTAATACTAGCAAACAATAGCTTCACTTATTTCTGGAGTTTCCTTGTAAAAAAGGACAAAACATCCTTGAATCAATTGTTCAAATTATTGTTTTAACTCTTCATGAGCAAAATCACCCATTCTTATATTTCGTTTTTGTAAGATTTCCATAAATTAATCTTTATTGCATTCAACAACACGTTTAGTTAAATATTTAAAAATGTATGGTAAACCTTCTTAAGTAATTTTAAATGGTGTAACTTATCCACCAAAACTTTCTTTGCCTCTTTCAAAAAGTTTCTATCCAATATTAATAAGTTTAAGGTTTTCTAATTAAATATAAAATATTATTTACAATTTTTGGAATCAAATAATATATTTTTTACATCTTCACTAACATATCTAAATTTCTTATTGACTTACATAATAATGTCAAGAGATTATCCAGTACCTAGAACTTATGCTTATGGGAATCCACTAATACCATAATAATCACATATAACTTTCCAATCATAGTCATTAATAGGAGTATAAGGTTCAAGTAATGCTGCTTTATTTTTATCATTTTACTATTTATCATCCTATTCATTGCTTTATTTTAAGATATCTTTAAGATGATCCTAATTGATATCAATATCTTAAATAAATTATTCTTATTAATTATCTTCTTATTATAATATTTCTTTATGTTATTATTCTTATTAATTTTATTATAATACTTATTCAGGTTATAATTATAAATTTTCTGATAAAGGTTTATCTACAATTTATTCAATTTCAATTTATTATTATTATTATTATTATTCAGTTAATATTGGTTATTATTAAGCTATAATTGATTCTTAATAGATAGGTTTTTTCCATATAACTGCTTACTTTTTCTTAAATAATGCCAAATAGAAACCACCTGTATCTTAATCATGTGGAAGTACTCTCATAGTCTTCTCTATAGCAATTTTATTCATAAATTCTTCAGTGTCTGGCCATAAAGAAGGTTTTAATGTTTTTAATGCATTAATCATTTATCCTTCTTATTTTCTTGAGAACTTAGAAAATAACTTTTTAATATTCAATTTCTGATTAACATTATTAACTTCATAAACTAAATCATCTTCATTGACAGTTTCAAGAAAAGACTTTTCATCTTAATCTGGATTAGTTTCTCTTTGAAGATACTTTTAAGTCAGAAAGTCATCAGTTATAATTACCTTCCAATCTTTAATTCCTTTTCTAGTTTTAAAACCTTATAATGTATTTAAATCAACTAATTCAAAAGCATCAAAACCTGCTCTTCTAAATACTTCAGCCACTACAGCTTCATCTTCAATTGGGTTAAGTGAACATGTACTATACATAACATATCCTCCAATTTTACATAATTAAAGTGCTCTCATCAAAATACTCAATTACAAAGGATGAATGACATTACCATCTCTTGCTGACCATTTAACCCATCTAGTTGGTAATTTACGAGCAGCTCCATCTCCAGTACATGGAACATCACATAATACTTTATCAAATTATAATCTTTATCCATTAATATATAATGTTGGATAAAATTATGCTGCATAATTAGTAATCATGACTTATGCTGTTGGCATACGAGATAATTGATGTGATAACATATAAGCTCTTTTTGGATCAACATCATTTGCAACAATTAATCCTTTATTTACAATTTCTAACAATTAACAAGTTTTTGATCCTGGTGCTGCACACATATCTAAAACATAATCAGTTGGTTGAGGATCCAATAATAAAGGAGGAAGCATTGAAACAAGTTCTTATCTTGTCAAAAGTCCAGTTGAATTACATTTTTATATGAATTAATGTAATTTAGTAAGTGCAGCTGATTTTCTTAAACTTTTCTTTGGTACTTTAGATTCCCAAACTAAATGATTTGGATACCATTTTATTTCTCTAATTGGTTCTACTATTTCTTCTTCATTGACCATGTCTTTTATCAATGAGCCATCTTACAATCTTTCAATCAAACTCTCATATTTATATTAAGATGGATTTATTCTAAATGTGACAGGTAAAGGAAGAGATAAAGATTACCAAAATATCTTAAATTCTTCTGGACTTATTTCTGGTAATTGAATCTAAAAATTGTATAATTACAATATAATACCTCATAGAAACGACGAAAGATTGGATTCTCAAATTAAACAACGCAAATTTATTGATTATCTTGATCCCAATGATTTGTCTTCACTTTTTTCTAAGGAGCATTTTCATACTTGCTTTAATTTTTATTTCTATGTTTCCCCATATATTAAAAGATAAATTAAATTTTAGGTGAAATTTGAAAAGTATGAATATTTTATGTTTTATATATGTTAAATAATTTATTAAAACACTAAATAAATTATAAATAAGTAAGATATTCATATTTCTAGCTCATTTTTACAAATTGGACAATGTCTACTCTTCTTGAGCCACCTATCAATGCAATCATCATGAAAATAATGTACTATTTAATAATATATATATTAAAATACAGCATGGAATAGTCTTTACTTAATCATCCTCTTCATATTCACATAGACATATCAAACATTTCATATGATCCTCATCCAATTATTTAATTTATTCTAAATTTATTTTCCTTACTGGTAATTATTATATTTCATGTTCTTCACATCCTAGATTCCCTTCAATAGTGCCATTTTCATTTAATTGTATGAATGTATTCAATAATCTATGTAAGGATTCAATCTAATCTTATCTATCATTATTTTAATTATTAATTGATCTGCTTATTATATTGTAGTTTTAAGTGATTAAAATTGTTATAGATTCATTCTTTAATCTATTTAATCTGTTATTTAAATATGTGTCTAATTAGGAATTACAAATCCATAATCTTCCTATAAACATACTTCAAAAATGAAATCACCAATCCTTAAAATCTACCCCTTTTCTAAATATCTAGTTAATCCTGCAAAATATGGATGAACAACATAATTTAATACTTATTACATTGCATAATTTCTATTATTATGAGAAAATTCTATTGGTTGCTTCAAAATAATGAATTAAACCTAAGACAATCTAGGTACATTTGAAATACACTCCATTTTAGTATATAAATGCAATCTCCCTGATTATTCAGTACATTGCAATACAAAATATTCCTGATTATTAATTTTTATGTATGAATCTAACATAATACTAATATCATATTACCCTAAATGATTTAGTTCTCTTTTGGATGAGAAAAAAAATAATGAAAAAGTTCATCTTAAAAGTTTTTTCTTTGAGTATATATTTTCAATTTGTAAAGGATTCTATCTGTATATGATTCATAACAATATATCTTTGTACCAGTACTCACAATGCCTTATAGTTATGAACCACATCCAACCACTCGAAACTCAAACTAGTCAATATTGAAACAAGCTCCTGATGTAATTATTCTTTCTCTCTTCTCAAAGAATGGCAATATAATTTGGCTCATCAACTGTCCATAAGAAATGTGATTAATACAGTTCCTAAAAATTTGTCATGACTAATAATACTGATTCACTCGTAATACAACAGAATCTAAATGCTATAATGGGAAACCATATGGACAACATTGAACATCTTGGTTATGATTCAAGAGAGTAATCACTCCATCTTTTATAACATACGGAATTTGGCATTCTTCACATTTGTTAGTTCTTCCCAATCCATCATCAAATAATATATGATTGCATCTTAGACAATTTACTTTTTATGCCTTGAACTCAGGGTTTTTTGTTATTGATGATGGAAATGTTGAACAACCTAAATGTCTATTTAAACATACTTTAAGCTAAATATTTGATCAATTCACTTTCTGATTTATTGATTTACTTTGTTTATTATGAGGATTGAATTCCTTATTGATTTTAATGTCTTGAACTATTTCCCATCAAGAATTAATAAATATATATGAAAAATAAAATTAGATCTTCCTAGAATATTTTTAAATTCCAATATTTATAAGATTTATATAACAAATCAATCATCAAAGATTAAATAACTTTATTATATAAAATCATCCATAAACTTTTATTATACAAATACTTATTAATATTGTTTTATTATCATATACTAATCTATTAGGATAATTCAAAATTGCGAGAATTATTTAAATAAATCTGAAGTGGAAGCATGCTTTGATTATTTAGTATATAATCATAAAAGGTTAACTTAAAGAATTAAAAAATGTAAAAACTAATACTTCTTATAATTATTTATAATTCGCATAAACAAAAAGTAAGAGACTATTTTCTGTAATTGTATCAGTGATTATGATTAAATTACTTCAAATTTGGACATATTAAAATAAATTTTATATAAATTATTTAATTCTCTTTAAAAATATATTATTTTTAGTTTTCCTTCAATTGTATGTTAAAGAAATAAGAATTTTCAGGATTTTACTATGAATTCAGCTCTAACTTTCATATATATAAATTCTTATAAACATAATTTGAATGTCTGTCTTACCTCTGGTTCTACTATAAATACAAATTTCTTTTTTAATCATTTCTCTCTTGTTACATTTTTTTCAGATGATCATTAGAAATAAAAGATTTCATTGATACATTAATGATAAGTGGATATTTCAATAGAATTTTGCTGATATGTATATCAAGAAGTTTAATCTCCAATTGTTAAAAATATGGAAAATGATGTAAATTCTGTAAAATTGCAATTAAAATTATTTTATTTTAATAATGATGAAGTTTGTATACGACTTTGAAATGAAATATCCACTTGCTTCACCTTCCATCTATACTACTCTTTCAAGCATATTTTTTGCTCTGAATTCTTTTAGTATTAAATATTTTGATGGAATACCTGCTACTCAAATTATTTATTGGAGATCGATCTTAACTTTGATTATCATAGAAATCTTGGCACTATTCATTCCAAATAATACATATCCCTCCTCAAGTAAGACACTTAAGAAACTGATTACTCGAGGTTGCATTGGAGGCGTTGGATTTCTTTCCTGCTTTTTATCATTAAAATTAGTCACTGTTTCAGAGGCAGTTGTTTTGATGAAAACTAATCCTTTATGGACAACCTTTATCTTAGCATACATTCTAAAAAAAGAAGTTATTACAAAAAGAACAATTCTCGAAATCTTATTCTGTCTCTTAGGTGTAATTTTGATCTCTAAACCACCAATTTTATTTAATTAGAATAATGATGAATTTACTTACCTTAATTTCTTTGGATTATGTTTAGCTCTCTTAACTGCAGTAACCACTTCATTTGCTTAAGTACTAATTAACTCTCTCTCATAAGAAGTTAGCTCCTTAGCTATTTTACAATACTTTTCCTTTTTTGGAATTATATCCTCGATTTTATATTAATTATACTACTCGGTTGAACAATTCAGAGCTGTGTCTCTTTATGAGGCTAATTTATTATTATTGAGTGGATTCCTTGGCTGTTTGGGGTAATTATGTATGAATAGATCTGTAATGATTGGAAATGTTACATAATAATCGTTAATTGGAGAATCTTAAATAATATTTAATATATTACTGGATATTTTAATATTGAAACAAGATATTGAAATCTTTAGTTGGGTTGGAATTACAATAATTATATTAAGTTTAACTTCAAATTTATTAAGAAAATAATGATTAAGCAATTTATTGAATAATATTATATTATTTTATAATAATTTGATTGATTTACTAAGTTTAATAATTCATCCTAATATTAAAAACCAAAATGATTTATTTTAATATTTTCTAATTCAAAATTTCTTCTTTTAGATTGAAAATAATGAAAATTATTATTTCTAAGTTTCTTCTAATAAATTAAATCATATCTTGGATAATTTTCTTTAATTAAGGTTCCTTAACCTGAAAAGTAGAATAATTATATATTGTCTATAAAAAATTAAATTATTCAAAGTAAAATCATAAGAATTCCTAATTATCAAAAGAAACACAGCTATTTCGATGTGGATTCAACATTAATGATTATTCCATTTCCTAAATCAGATTCTCTACTGTTAACAATTTTTTTTTTAGCTCTTCTATTTCTCTTAATATTTCATTAAATTTCATTAAATTGAATTCCTTATTTCATCATATAAAAATCAATACTTTTGTCTTAACAATCTCATCCATCTTATATTTAATCTCTTTGATTAGAAAATCTCTCTTTTTTTTTAATTCCTATAAATTAATTTCTATTTCCTCATTGATTTATTTATATTCTTGAAATTGTAATGACTTTATTTCTTTCGAATTTTTAGATGTAACAGTATGAAATATTTCCTTCATAATTTAAACACTCTTTCTAAATTAGTTCTCTGGTATCTTATTTAATAAATATTCTTCATTATTTGTTAGATATTGTTATACAATTTGTCTTAATTCTTGATCATTTAACGAATCTTAATTATATTAAAAATTCTCGGATTATTTATTTGTAGAAATTGTTTAAGGTTAATTATCAAATTCTAAGATTATTGACTTTAACTCACTATTTTCCTGGAGTAATTAATCATTCTATTGAGTTAAATCCCTATATGTTTAATTGAATTCTTAAACCAATCTTTCATTTTCTTAAGCCCCAAGATTCTTTTCTTATAATAGCTTTATTTTAAATTCATTGATCTCTCTCTCTTTCAATTTCATTATCTTTTAGAACTTTTCTTAAATTGTTTTTAACTCCTAAATTTCATTATTTCTGACATTCAACTTTTCTTTATATTCTTAAAGTTCTTTTTAGACCTATTTGTACATATTTTCAATTGACTTTGCTACAGATTAATGTTTCAACAATTCACTTTCTTAGCTACTCTCAAAAAATCAATATTTACTCCTAATATCTTTAAAATAATTATTAATAACATCTATCTGTGTCATATTTCTTATACCTTTCCTTCTCTAAATCATCCTTTAATTGGTCATATTTCTTATTAATCGCTTTTAAATTATCTTCCAGATTCAAAATTCTTTGCATTAATTGTTCTTTAGTTTCATGAGAAAAGGGGGAGGCATTTTCATAATAAGGAAATTAGTGTTGTATATTTTAGTTTATTGTTTGTTGAATATGAGGATATCCAATATACTATTTGTTTGGTGTCATTGATTATTTGTCACTAAACTAAAGATAATAAATTAATCGTTTATACGCTACATCCTCTAAATGGTGATGTATTAATTGCTTTTTCAGGAGTTTTTGTAATACTATTTGAAGATGGAGTTAATATGTAATTGAGATGTTGTTTTTACATTAACGAATAATAGCAATTAATTATAATATAACATTTTTTATATATATAATTTTTATTGAAATTGAAACTTATTTTTCATAATCTCTAGGTAAAATACAAATAACTGTTAAAATAATAGAATAAGCTTTATAGATTAAATATTTCGATATATTTATTAAAAATTCACAACCTCTATTACAAAGAGAGAATATAAAATATTATTATATTTTTTATTTCTTACTATTCCTATTTCGATAATGTAATTATAAAAATTATAGTAATCATATGGTATTATCTAAGAAAATTACAAAATAATAGCCATTATTCAACCTTACTAAAAACAATCGTTTGTTGAGGTTAGAGCTATAAATAATATCACGAATAAAAATCATCTCTCCCAAAAATAATAAAAGGCTTAAAGACAAATTTAATAAATAAATTTGCGAAACAAATAGTATAAATTTATTAATTATTTTCTGCATCACTCATAATTAAACTATTTCTACTTTTAAATGACTATAATTTGTTCTCACAAGATTTTACATTTATAATTATAAAAATCAAACCCTTATAAAACTCTAATATTAAATTTTTCATTTTTCTAATTAGAATAACTTAAATTTGTTATTAATCTAATTATATATGTATTGATTATATAAAAGTATTATTATGAATGAGGTTTCTTAATTTATTTAGATGATTTAACTAATGTAAATCATAATTTGAAAATTTCGCACAAATTATAAACAAAATTTATGCCTAAAAAGTTATCCTAATACATTTCATAATTAGTTTAAAACAAATGTTCTAAATCTCAACATCCATATTCCGCGATGTATACTAATTAATAAGGATTTCGAATATAAATTTTATAATAATAAACTCATATTATTATTTGAGCTAAAATAATATAAATTATCTTTGATAATTCTTGTATTTATGAAAGTTGTTTAATAAGACTTGAATATAAGTAACATGAAATTTTAATCATCAATAACCAATATTTTTATATTATTATTCCTAAACTTAAGAAAAAAGAAATGACATTTTGTTAATATCTAATTTTTGTTAATATTTCAGACTTAATATTAACTTTCCTTCTAATTAGACTACATCTTCTAATTATTGAATTTATTTAGCCAACATAATTATATACTATTTTTTAGACTTGTGTTTTTTTTTTCTAATTTTAAGTTTTGATATCAATGATTAAGTTTTAGATCTCCTAAAGAATCTCCCTTGTGACTATCCCTTTATAAGATGAGCTTGTGATTTGGATTTAACTTAAATAGAACATTTATCAACCTAATCTTATCTTGGTAGATGAGCTTGGTCAAACCCTCATGGCTTTTAATTTTAAAGCAAAAAACTTTCTGAAAGCAGATTTTGGAATAATTTATTCGGCATTGCTTAAAATAAATACTCGATATGATAATTTATTTAGAGATTTATAATAGAATTAGGTAAAAGAGGAAAGGCATAATGAATATATAAATTGGTAATGATATAATTAGTAATTATATATATATATATATTTTTAATTTTGATTTGCAAGTTATTTTATAGATTTCAAATTTATATTAAGTATTTACATTTATTTTTCATTTATATTTATTTTTATATCTATCCTTAAGTATCTTCAACCTAATCATCATAAGACCTTTCTTAATCATTACATTCAGATAAATTTTTTATTGAAATTTAAATCATAATAGTTTAATTCATATTATAATTGGATAAAGTTGTTGATGTAAATTGCATAGATTATATTATAGTTATTTTTAAAATACATTAGATACTTCATTTTATAGTTTCATAATAAGATTGAAAAAATTTCATTAAGATAGATAAAGCTGTATAGAATTACATGTTTTTTTCTGAAATTATAATTGTAATAATAACTTTGTTTTTATATTATTTTGATTTATTAGTTTCTAACAAAATTTTACTTTATTTTCTTTGTAATTTTCACAAATTAAACAATATACTATTTAAATTCTTATAAATAATATAACTATCTTTATAAGATAATAGGACTTCATTTTTTAAGCTTAAAGTGGATTGCAAATTTAAAGAAAAAAGAAAAAGGATTAAAAAAATCAGTCTTTAAAGAAAGAAAACTATAATCCCATAAGTAATTATGATCTATTTATGTAACAAAAGGCAGGGTTAAGAAAATAAATAAATAATAATTCTTTTTATATTTATTTAATATAATCAATTTACTAAATAGATAATAAAAAATAACTAGCCGATATAAATTTATTATTTGCTTTCAATATTTCAATAATTTATTGTTGTGAAGTATTTCTACAATATCATATATCAAATGAAAATAATCGATATTTTGGATTGGACTAAATTTTTTACATAAAATTACATTCATATTCAGCCAAAAGTATCAATGAAAGGAATTTAATCAATAGATCAAATGGTAGCTTATATACATATATTTTGGAATCTAAAAAACAGGATTGATGGTTTAAATTTAGACTAGAATCTGAAAATTTGAATAATTTTGAATATAAAATAATGTCATAACATTAGTATGACGATTAAATTCAATAACAGAAATGCATTAAATGAACTTCTCTCTGGATCAATTAAATCACGCTATAAGCTATATGTTCTTCTTTCTTTTGGATAAAGCATTCCTCCATCTACTGGTCGAGCTTATAAATATAAACGGTTTTATCTTTGATAAACCATGTCACTTTCATAATCAGGAGAATCGTTTGTCATTCCTAAAGCTGGGAATTCTTTTCCTGTTAGATTTGCCTTTTAACCATTTTTAAATGGTTCTATTCCTTCAGGCAATCCTTGATTTAAGTTAGCAGCCATTTCATCATTCATAGGTGTAATGTATAATTAACTCATACTGAATTTGGCAAAGTATGCACCTGCCACAACTTGAGAAGCATCTTCTTCCCAAACAAATGGGCCAATTACTTCCATTTCTAATAAGGGAGATGTCTAACCAGGGCCAGGAAAGCTGGTTAATACCAAAGAATAATTCGATTCTGATAGAAATGTTAATTTTCTTGTCTAAAAAGTTGTGATCAATTGCCCTTGATTATTCTTGCTTGGTCTTACTTCTTTTGTAAGACTCTACCAAACACCTCCTAGAATTGATTCCTTTAATTCATCAAGGGTTAGGGGAGTTTCATCATCTGAGAATGGGATTAGAGGAGCACATAATCCTTTTGGTGGGTTATCTAAAGTTGCTTCATTTCCAAATACATCTACTTCTCCCATATATAAATAATCATCTCTGATATATATAAGATCATATGCCAAGAAAAACTGATTGGATTATTTACCCAGAGCTGGAACAGCCAATTTGGTTACGTCTTAAGGTTTATCTTTAACCCATGTAATACCATCCTATCCTTATTATGCTCCATTGAAAGCAGTTACAGATTCATCTGTATGAAGTGTGATTATTGCACTCTTACTGAAATTAAATTAGCACAAGTAAGCCCCTGAAATTACATCACTTGCTCCTTAGAATGTTATTTCTCCTTATCCTTAGATAGATATTTTTCTATTTGACCCAGATTTGTCTTCGAAATTTTCGATTAACGTCGAGAATCCAGAATCAGAAGTAAAATTCCATTATCTTCTTTAATATTCTGGATACGCTGTTCCACCTTGATAGTTTGGAACTAATTCAAGAGCTATGCTTTTCCAATCGTTAATGATTTAAGCCTTAATTTCATCCAGAGTTTATGAAGTAACCAATTTAATCACTAGTGTCATTATGATTAGTTTTTTGGTTAGGTAAGTTATTGTAAACATTAAGTTAATATATGATTTATTTTTTGAGATGATGGATTGTTTTATAATGACAATTGGAATTTCTATTTTCCTAACTTTATATTAAATAAAGATAAATTTGTCATTATAACGCTGAAAATTTATATAAATTTATATAAATTTTTATAATTTATATATATAATTAATTTGAGAAGCAATTAAATTTTTTTAAATATGACATTTGTATCTTTCAATTAAATAAATATCTAAATATTTTCAACCTTCAATGAAAGACATTTTAATATTAAATGCTTTATATCTTTTATAAATCATTTTTCTTAAACCTTAAAGATCTGTTAATAAAATATTGTATAAAAGAAAACTCTATTTAGAATCTTTACTTAAACAATAAAATTCTTATTTTATAAAGATTTGGTATTAATCAAAATTATGAAATAGAAATATTTGAAGTTGATTGAATATAAATATGATTCTAATAATTATCTTTAAATTATTTTATATATAGAGAAATAAAATCAATTTGTTGAACAATTTAAACAAGATGTTCTCATCAATTAGACAAAAATTGATTTTTATTTTTTTTAGTAGTAATTCAATTTATTTTTAAAGCTAGTATTGTAATCAATTTTACTATAATATTATATTCTCTATACAAAGTTCTATTAATATTGATCTTGATAATAGTTTGATTGAATTTGCGATTATGGATGGAAGATGGAAGTGTTTTTGTATTAATTAATGGAGTTTTTAATTACAAATTCATTATTGATGCTTTAATTAATAGAATTTTTTCATTTATTCTCATAAGTTTAAGATTTATTCAATAATTTTATAATTCCTTTTGGATTAATTCAATTTATTTTTATCAAAGATCTCATTATAATTTGCTTATTATCCATTATTAATAATCTTTCTCCATTACTTAGACTGATAAAAGATTGATTTAGTAATTAAGTACTATAACATGATTTCCTTGAGTCCTATTAAAACTTCAATTATCTTAGAAAAATCTACACTAAGAATTAACGAAATATTGATAATTAAATATAATTTAAAATTTAGATAATTTTGTAAGTAATCCTTAATAAATATTCATATAATTTTAAATTCATTATGATCATTATGATCACTAAAATTTATTTTATATATCAATTTTTATGTCCTTTCTTATTACTGGAGAATTGTTTTTGTAATTTTTTTAATAGTTCTGTTAATATAGATATAAGAATTCTAGATTTTACTAAGATAATTTGAAATAAGAATTAATGAATTTTTAATCAATGAGTCTTTAATTATAATATCTTAATTTTAAACAAAATATTTGCTAATAATATATCATAATCATAGATAAATGTTCCATAAGCATACAGTTCCATCATAACTAGTTGTGATTACTTATTTTTAATCACTTGTCCATGCTACCTTCGAAACTCCTGATGAATGTCCTAAATATTTACCCAAAATGGATTGAGTTAATATTGAAATCAAAATTAACTATAAAAATATGATTATTATTTACCTCTCCAGAATCTGATCCAGTAGCCAATATTTTTCCATCTGGACTGATTGCGATTGAATTTAATTTCATAACATCTATGGATTGGACTGGCTCTACAATGTCAATATCCCAAAATTAGATCGGCATATTAATACCACAAGTGACTAACATTTAATAAGGAATCACAATTACTTAGCTCTAACTCATTATCCTTTCTTTAAGTCATATCAAGGAGAACTCCATTTCTAGATTAGTGTTAAATAACCTTTTTATCTGTTTTGAGATCATAAGTGTAAATAGTTTTATCAGCTGAGCATGAATGAATAAAATTTGGTTTCATGAGATCTGGAAATACTTTAGTTATTTCTTTAGAGTGGATAGATATTTAAGTAATTAATTATCTTGCTGTTTTTGACCAAACTCTAATAATACTATCCTCACCACCTGAGAGATAATAATTCTGATCACTATATAAACTAGTTACAGCTCCTTTATGAGCATTAACTATCTCCCATTTGATTGGCGACACTGGTTTATTAGTTATCATATATGCTCTTATAAAACCATCTCTCCAACCAGAAATGATTGTCCTATCAGGATCTAAATAAACTGATGATCCTTTGACTCTGTTCATGTTAATTGGAATACATCTTGTAATAACAAGCATTTCATTCATATCCCATACCATAACTACACCTTCATAATCAATGGAGACAAAGAGATCACATGCATTTAATGGTACCGATAAACCAACTATACTTGATAAATGTCCTTCAGTATGTACAGATGAATCTAAATGTGCAGTGTTTATTCTGTAGATTCTACCATTTGATGTTCCTGCTAATAATTCATTACCATTAGGATCAATTGTTATTGAATTCATTCTACCTTCTAAACATATTTCTCTTTCTAAATTCCATCTAGTATCACTTCCAGTCAATTTCTTCACCTTTCCATCTCCAGAACCAACAAAAAGATTCTTTCCAAAAATATTAATGCTCAAAACTCCATTATTACTAATAGGTATTGTTGCTTTGAATATTCCTCCTTATTATGAAGATATACTAAAAATACAAATTTCACCAGCATGAGTTCCAACATATAAATAATCTCCATTTGCATCAATTACTGCTTTTGTGTAATTTCTTACTAAACCACTGCTAGGTAATTGACATGGTGCTTATTTGAGTTAATATTGCATAGAAGCAACATCAAAATCCATTGTATTTAAGAAGATATTGGAACCTTGAGAAGTGACAATTAAATATTAAGAATGTTTAGTAGATGATCTTCTTGGAGGACACCAAGTTATCAGATTTATTGGAACTTCTAATAATTTATTATGAACAATAGTATAATCTTAACAATTCCATATTATTAAATTATTGTTTGATGCAGTAGCTGCTAAGAATTTATCATCACTTGAAAAAGAAAGATTTGTAATTTCATCTCTCAAACCTCTGAATATTTGCATTGGTTTTCTTGCATTAAAATCCCATAGTATGACTGGTGCTTCTGGTGTCTTTGCATTTCGAGATCCCATCTATCCAGATGCTATATATCTGCCAGTCTTTGATAATGTCAATGCACTAATATCCATGTCATGTCCTCTCAAAAATAATTGTTAATGTTTATCATTCAAATTTTCTATTACAATTAATCCAGCTAATGCATATACTATTGTGGACTCCTTTTGAGGATGCAAGTGTATCACATCTCGATATCTCCCAGAAAATCCATTCATATGATCTAATTCTATTGCATCACTCTATAAAGGTAGTTTCTATCCTGCTTCAGGCATAGGTTGTTATACAACTTATGGAAGAGTTTAATTATAATAAGGATTCTGATACTGTTACGGATTTTGAGTGTATTATATGGGAGGCTATGGATAAGGTTGCTTGTAATAAGGTTGTTGATTCCCTCTTTATGCATAATCTATAGGAGTATTTGTTATTGGATTTNTAATGGTACTGATAAACCAACTATACTTGATAAATGTCCTTCAGTATGTACAGATGAATCTAAATGTGCAGTGTTTATTCTGTAGATTCTACCATTTGATGTTCCTGCTAATAATTCATTACCATTAGGATCAATTGTTATTGAATTCATTCTACCTTCTAAACATATTTCTCTTTCTAAATTCCATCTAGTATCACTTCCAGTCAATTTCTTCACCTTTCCATCTCCAGAACCAACAAAAAGATTCTTTCCAAAAATATTAATGCTCAAAACTCCATTATTACTAATAGGTATTGTTGCTTTGAATATTCCTCCTTATTATGAAGATATACTAAAAATACAAATTTCACCAGCATGAGTTCCAACATATAAATAATCTCCATTTGCATCAATTACTGCTTTTGTGTAATTTCTTACTAAACCACTGCTAGGTAATTGACATGGTGCTTATTTGAGTTAATATTGCATAGAAGCAACATCAAAATCCATTGTATTTAAGAAGATATTGGAACCTTGAGAAGTGACAATTAAATATTAAGAATGTTTAGTAGATGATCTTCTTGGAGGACACCAAGTTATCAGATTTATTGGAACTTCTAATAATTTATTATGAACAATAGTATAATCTTAACAATTCCATATTATTAAATTATTGTTTGATGCAGTAGCTGCTAAGAATTTATCATCACTTGAAAAAGAAAGATTTGTAATTTCATCTCTCAAACCTCTGAATATTTGCATTGGTTTTCTTGCATTAAAATCCCATAGTATGACTGGTGCTTCTGGTGTCTTTGCATTTCGAGATCCCATCTATCCAGATGCTATATATCTGCCAGTCTTTGATAATGTCAATGCACTAATATCCATGTCATGTCCTCTCAAAAATAATTGTTAATGTTTATCATTCAAATTTTCTATTACAATTAATCCAGCTAATGCATATACTATTGTGGACTCCTTTTGAGGATGCAAGTGTATCACATCTCGATATCTCCCAGAAAATCCATTCATATGATCTAATTCTATTGCATCACTCTATAAAGGTAGTTTCTATCCTGCTTCAGGCATAGGTTGTTATACAACTTATGGAAGAGTTTAATTATAATAAGGATTCTGATACTGTTACGGATTTTGAGTGTATTATATGGGAGGCTATGGATAAGGTTGCTTGTAATAAGGTTGTTGATTCCCTCTTTATGCATAATCTATAGGAGTATTTGTTATTGGATTTATTCCATTCTTATTCTAATGGCCTGGTTAAGGTCGTAAATTCATAATTTAAATTATTATTTCTTTTTTCAATTATATATATGTAATAGTATATATATAAGTACTACTAATTAATGAAAATTTTAATTTCTTTTATGTCATATCTCCTTCAAAAAATTCGATATACCTTTTGTGTCTAAAGAATACCAAATGGAACTCATTTAATTGTTGGATTGGGTAATCCTGGCAAAATTTATGAAAATACTAGACATAATGTAGGACAATAGTTCGTTAAACATCTTGCTAATGAGTTTGCCATAAAAATGAATGATGGATCAAATGGGTCAATTGGATAATTTCAACACATAATTCTTTTTAATCCTCTCTCATTTATGAATTCTAGTGGCCATCCAATAAAAAAGCTCGCAGATAAAGCTAACATAGCAACCAGCAATATAATTGTTGTTCATGATGACTTAGAAAATTTACCAGGAAGATGTAAGATTAAATAAGGAGGAAGCGCAGAAGGACATAATGGTTTGAAATCCATTATTTAATATATGGATGATAAATTCATTAGATTAAAAATTGGAATAGGAAGACCTAATTCAAAAGACCCTGCAATTGTTAGTGATTATGTGATGAGCAAATTAGATTATGAACCATCATAACAAGCATTCAAATAAGGAATTATGCTTGCCCGATAACTCTTTAAATTTTGATGATCATCTATCATTATAAGGTCATGCATCATTCAATATAATTGGTTTCATCTAATAAAGTGTTGAATTCTGAATCTGTCAAAATATCAGAAAATTAACATTTTTCTTATCTCTATCTTGCATTCTTTCCCATTCTTCCAAACTCTCCTTTACTACGATTCCAAAACAAACCAACAATCAAAAATATCATGCTTATTATCAATATAGTGATTCCTTCAATCAAAAGATCGTTTTTTAACATTTTTTATTTTTATAATACTCATTATTAATTTCAATTAAAACAATTAATAATTATTTTTCCAAAATTATTTCTATTTTTTCAAGTTCCTACTTTTCTACTTTGCAACAATTTAACGAATACATGTTAAAATTATAGACTAAACTACTCTTTTTAATTTTCATTCTTATTACTCATTTCCAAAGAATCATTTACTAATTTAGCCATCAAAAGTGGATTCCTCAAGAAATTAAATTACCCATTACATTCACTACGTGAAAATACTTGGTTGAAATTATCGAACATTGTTTCAGTTATATGAAATGATTAACACATAGATTAACAAGTTACAATTCCTTAAGGATCTAAATAAGCTACACTTTAACATTTTAAGTGTTTGCAAGGATTCTTATTTTAATTCTAAGTATTTCCTTATTATTGAAATACTTTATTACAGATCAAGATACGATCTTTATTAATCTAATTCATGCGATTCTCATAAATTTATTATTATTATTATTATTTTTATTATTATTATTATTATTATTATTATTATTACTATTATTATTATTACTATTATTATTATTAGTTTTATAGTCCTAGTTATTGGACTTATTGCTACAGTTAACTTAGCCTCAGACGTAATGATGAAGATTTTTAAATCAAATCATCTAATTGAATATTAGGATTTTAGCGAATTTTGTCCAAACTCAACTAAATTTCATTTCCTTCAGACTCCAATTTACTTAATTCTTGTCTAATAAATTCTAAATCAGGTTATTAGTTTTCTTTTTATTAATATTATTTTACATATAGGAATATTATTATGATTCTAGTTCTGTTGTCTAGAAGACTGACTTTATTTATCGATTGATTTTTATGAGTTGCATATTTCTATTTGGATAGGGATGTCTTCATCTGAATCGAAAAACATAGAATCGTTATCTGATAATATTTAATAAATTGATTGATTACCTTCTACATCAAAATCAATATCGGAATCAGATAATTGTTCATTAACATTTTATTTATTTAAATTTTTCCATAATAAACAATTTAAAAATGTGGATGTTATTGTGACTATTTTAGCTATCTTTATGTTTTTATATGTACTTATGATTTAGGATTCGAATACATAATTAGAAGAATTAAAATTTTTAGATTTAAAATGGATTATATATTTAAAAAAGTATAATAATGAAATAGAATATTATTTATTATTAAGTAAAAATAATCTACTACTTTATTCATATTATATTATTTTAATTGTCTTTATAATGCTCATTATTTTTTCTTTATATTTATGAATTATAAACATAAAACGGAAGAAAAATTTTTGCAAAATTCATTTTTATCAGTCTCATTCATTTAGGATCTAGCCATAGAATCTTTTAATATCTAAGCCATTTCTATGCTCGTTTGAATGGATACACAATTAACAATATTAATGTTTTCGATTTTATTAAATACCTTATTGTAAGTAACATCAAATAGAGCATCTTTTATAGTAAATGAAGGACAACCCTTTTTACAATTAACTTCTCCTTTAGAATTCATAGTAGCTACAGTTTAACATTTAGCATGTTTGCATGGATAATCAATTGATTGTGAATACTTTTTTTAATAAAATAATGAGATATTTAATTCTATTTGATCACTATTATTATTTTATTTTTAACTCTTCTCAAGGTCTTCCAAAAAGTTATTCAACTTTACATAATCACAATGAGCTTAAACTAGCTATTCTATCATTTTAAATTATTTCCAAAGTAGTTCTTCTTACTTTCTTCTTTAGACTTCTTATTCATGTAATTATATGAACTCATCTATTAGTTTGAATTGTATTATCAAATTATTAAAAGATGTATCATTTTCTTAAGATTCTTCTTCATCTTCATCTTCATTATCCTAATTATCTTAATAAAACTAAATATCTTCATCAGACTAATTATTCTAATTATATTAATTATCAAAATTATCCTGAATAATTTAATTACCATAATTTTATTAATGTATTCCAAAAATTTGACGTTAAACTTGTTAGTGAGTAATTATAACTCTATTAGATTAACTTACAGATCCCATTAGTATTTTATGATTATTATTATTAATAAATTATCATAATAGAATATAATTTAAATTCAATTAATTTATATTAATTATAAATTTAATATCATTCTTTTAATGTACGTTTGTATTCTTATCTTTTCAAATAGATGTCAACCCATGTTTAACGAAGACTTATGATTTTTTTAATGAAATAAATCAAAATTAACAATATGTGTTCTATTAATATTACAACTAAAGTGGCTTAGGATGATTTATTTGGAAGTGGTCTTGCAGTTAATAAACCACAGGATGATACCATGATTTTAATTTCATTGTCTTCTATTTCATCATATTAAGATTAGGTTATTGAGGGTTAGGTGTTAGTTTCTTCAAATAAACTAGGAAAGAATTTGACAATTTAATCACTTGCTACAGAAAATAACATTAAATTTGTAAAGACACTTATAACACATATTATATCCATAGCTTTAGTCCATGGACCAATTGAATTAGATTTGATTGCAAAAGGCTTTTAATAAAGGTGATAGATCTTATAATAATCTGAAAAGAATTCAATAAATAAAAATGTTGTTACTACAATACCAGCCATTCTTACAGCAGATGTAAAAAAGCAAACATATCCAAAATTTAGAATAATTTCCAAATAATCATCAAATGATTCATACTTTGGTAGAAAACATGAGATCAATTAACTTTATAAAACTTATTACATTTCATGATTATTCATTTAAAATTCTTAACAAATAGTATCTTATTGTAATTCAGATAATCCTTTCACTATAGATTTTTAATATTTAATTAATCTTAATTTAGAAATGGAAGGTAATATAGTTTCAGTCATTATTCTTCTAAATTCATCAACCATAAACATTTGAATCATCTCTTGTTTTAATTAATTGATATCATCATTAACAAATCCTATATAAAAGAAATCAAAAAAAGCAGAGAATATTTCAAATGTAAATCTTTTTATGATAAGTGATCTCTCAAATGTTTATAAACACTTATGATCTTCAGATAATGAAGTTGTAATTGACACTTATTTATATTTACTATTTAAATAATTTACAACAACCACATGAATAATGGCCAATAAATAAGATATATAAATATTTTTGCAATTAGGGATCTAAATGAATTCAATATACAATTATTATTTTGAATCCACATATCCTCTCATATTTAAAGATGCAATAAGAAATATTACTAATGCAATTACATATCCAATAATTCTAATTATAGAATTTAAATAAATTGAGAAGATATTCTATTTTATTTAGATCTTTTATCCTGTTACAGGATCCAATTCATTTGAATATACTATTTTCTTAGTTGATTCTTAAATTGAAAAATGATTTTTATGTTTTAAACATTTTAATAATGACAATTCCATTTTAGATTACATATAATCATAGTTTTTACCATGACTTCTCCATCTCACTTAATATTCCTTTTATTTCTAGTTCCATTAACTTACAAAATATGCAGCCCATAATACAGTCAAAGCAGCATACAAAGGTTCAAATGGAGATTTTGTAACATCATAATCAAAATATTCATCCAAAGAATAAGTAATCATTCCAAAAACAACTAATATCAACATATTCTTAATTAAATAAAGAAGAAAACCAAAATAAAATGCTATTTACTCACCCATTTAAGATCTGATTCTCACAACTAAATAATCCAAAACATTAACATTCATTTATAAACATTACTTTAATTCTTTGTATGTGCTATGTCTAAATGTTCTCATTGGACAAATATCTAATAAAATTCCTTATTATTTTAATGCAACAAATAAAAATTGTTCTCCACTATTTTCTGGATTAATTTAATTATTATTTTGTAGAGTAGCTAAAATTTAATATATAGCAATTTCTCTAAGATAAGAATCAATCTCTACTACGTTATTGGTATTTTCAAATTTTTATTTCTAATCATACTTGAATTTTGAATACTATTCCATTTCTTTTATATTCTTATCTAAAAATTCTCGGATTCTAATAAACAAGCGATACTTTTCAAATTTCTTTCTATTTTAAACTAATATTGATTTCTAATGGGATTTCTTAGAATATTTAGGTAATTCAATATGCAAATCTGAAAGTGTCTATAAAAGTAGATCATTCTAATTAATTATCTTGTTTTTTTTACATTTCTTAAATAAAGCATCATGATTATTGATGTGTTTTGAATTATCACAGTTAATCCAAATCCTAAATCATTGAGTAATTTGCTTATGGATTTAATTTAATCTGGTGATATTTTTTCATTGAAAAGAAGTGCAACCTCATACATAATAGAATTTTGGAATATTTTAATTTATTATATTATTAGAAATTTTCAATTACTTGGATCATTATAAATGAATTATCATTGACTATGTTCAATTAATTAAATAGTATTCCATAATCCATTCATAGCAACATGTGGGTTTAATGTTTATAGAATTATATCTATTATATCAGTAAGATATTAATTAAATCAGACAAAGAAGATTTGTTGGATATATAAAACCATCGTTAAGAACATTCAATAATTATGATATCAAGAAATTTAAATCTACAAAGAAATTTAAATATTTTATAAAAAATTTTTCGTGTTGTTGAATCCGTAATTGATTCTATTAATGATGAAATATTCTATGAATTTATTGATCAAATAAAAAAGGAAATGAAAAATAAATTAAATTATAATACTTTGATTTGATGATAATCATAATGTATTTCATTTTACATAATTGTTAATATACAATGCACAATTCCTTCCTGGAGCCCCCATTACACCTCCACCGGGATGAGTTCCAGAACCACACAAGAATAATCCATTAATTGGAGTTCCATAACTATTATATCCATTACTTGGTCGATTTCCATACAATTTATCCAAAGTTAAAGCACCATGAAAAATATTACCTTCTGTCATATTCAAGAGTTACTCAATTTCTTATGGTGTTACCATATCAGTATAGAGTATAGAATTTCTATTAAAATGTAAATAATAATTACTTGAAATTTGGAGCATATTGAGAAATATAATCAATAACTTATTCCTTCAACTATTATTTGATTTACTCATTCCAATTAGCCTTATAAGGAGTATATTAAACCAAACATTATACAATATGTTACCCTTATGGAGCTATTGTCTTATCATGAACAGTAGGAACAACTAAATCCACAAATAAATTATCACTAAATGATCTATAAAATGAATTATTAATTAATAATACTTTCCATTTATACAATCTTAGTATGCTTATCTTAATGTATCCAATCTTTCACATCCTAAATGTGTTGTACCAATTAATACAGATTCAGGCTTTTCATATTTGGTTCCTTCAAAACATTTAAATTTAGGCATTTCAGATACAGCAAAATTAAATTTAGTACAAGCTCCATTATATTCCATATGTTTAACATCATTGAAATATTTAGGATTCTTTGTTTATTAATCATTTGATAGTAATTTCTCAAAAGTGATTCTTGGAGTTACACTGCTTATTATAGTATCACTATAATATATATTATTGTCTGAACATTTAACTCCAGTAACCTAATTATTAGATGTTAGTATTTATTCCACTCCAATATTGGTCTTGATCTCTACTCCCTTCTATTCATTCAATTTAGTAAGTATTTTAGATATAGATCCCATTCCACCTTCAACAAACGCCCATTCTCCCTTAGAATTTGGGAATATTTCACCCATTACATGATGCAATAAGATATATGCACTAGCTGGAGTATCAATAGATATCATTTCCCCTATGATGCCATCAGTTATAAGCGTTCCTTTTAAAATGTCAGATTCAAACCATTTATTTAAAAATTAACTTGACGATTATGACATAAATTAAATGTAATCGTATATCTAATTAAATATAAAACATATACTTTATCTTTATTTTTCCATCCATCTTATCCCATTTTCAATAATAATCCAAGATCATCAAAACTTTTCTTTATATTATATCCTTTACCTTTAGCAGATGTGTCATAAGGATATTTATCTTAATAATAACTCCATAAATCTATAATTTCTGATAAGAATTAGTTGTATTCATCATAGACTTCACTATCTCTTTTAGAGAACTTAGCTATTTCCTATTTACAAAAAGTTGAATCTGAGTTCATTAACAGATATTCTCCTTTGTTTTTGGTGACTGTAATACTAGAGATAGGCCTTCTAAATAGTTTCAATCCATGTTAATATAAATTCAATTCATTTATTACTGATGGACGCATCAATGAGAGTAAGTATGAGAATCGACTGAATTTAAAACCAGGATAGATTTCTTCTGTTTAAGCTGCTCCACCTGTTATATGTCTTCTTTCTAGAAGCAAGATATTTTTATATTTGAGATAGCAGGCTGCCACAAGTGCATTGTGACCACCACCTATAATAATAGCATCATATTTTTTCATATTTAATAAATTCATTTTATTGAGAATGTCTTGTTTAAGAAAATAAAGTGTTTCTTTTAGTGATTAGTTTAGGAATTGAGCTTTTCTTATAAAAACTCAATTAGGAATTCGATTATTATGTTTTAATTGCTCCAATGACAGAACTTGTTCTAACAGATTTACGATTATTAAGATAAATAGAGTGTTAAGGACATATATTGTATGAACGTTCAACACTACTATCAGTTCTAGTAGTTTATTAGGTTCTGAATCGTATCGGTTTTATTTGTCTTTTCTTTTGATTTAACCTATTCTGAGCTTAAATAATATAATTTTAGATTGTCTCTCCTATCTTTGTATTTCTGTGGACAGCATAACTAAATACTGTTTTGTTTTTTTCATTCGACAACTTAGCTATGTTGATTTGATACTTATTATCAATATCAGGTATCATGGTCTAATTTCTGGAGGACTATCATTACATTCCTCATCAAATGTTGTTATGCACAAATCACTCTTTGAATTTTCTATTAATTCAACCACTTGCGAATCAATTCTTAATCCATATACAAGAACAATAATATTTGTGTTTTAATAAAATTAATCACAATAAATATATATAGTAACCATCTATATTTATAAATTTTATTATTAGTATTTACTAATTATAATATTTTAATAAGAAATAGAAAATTTTTCATACTGGATGATTCAAAATAATAATATTAAAGTGTAGATCAATTCTTTATTTATTGTAATAATGAATATATTAATTATATCATAAAGATTATATATTCAATTATAATATATATTATATATAGCAATTATAGAAATCATTATGCTTATAAAAATAAAATAGAATCTAATTATATATTTAAAATAATTTATAAGGAAATATTGAATACAAATTCAATTAATTAATAGCAAAATCTTTTAGAAAATATAAGTATTTTAATATTAATTAGATTTCAATATTATAATTTTGTATATCTCTTTTAAATGTTATTTATTAATTAAATAATACATTCAATGTTTTTTAATGTTTCAAAGGGAATCATTAAAATTTTGTACTTAATTAAGTTTGATTATAAATTTATTTGAATTAAAATTAAATACTTAATATAGACAAAGTAAAAATGTAGCAAGAATTTAGTATTTAAAAACACTTAATACTCTAAAAATAATTTAAAGAGATGAAATATTAATTATATATATTAAACATAATTGGATATTAAATTTGCAATCAAAAGAATTCATATTTAAATATAAAAATTTGATGAATGTAAGAATCTTGTATAAATAACACTTTTATGGAAATATTAGTTTCGATCGCATATATCTAATCATTAATATAAATTTCAATATGATTTCATTTTCCACAGTGGAGAATAAACTTTTTATTATTTTTTTAATACAAATAAATGGGTTCGTGTAGTTCGAATGTTCGTTAGAAGGTCTAAAAGAATTCTGAAATTAGGTAATTCAGTTAGCTAGACATTCGTCATTTTTACAAATTGGGATAAGTTATTGGTCGTGGGAATTTTGCTACAGTTTAAATTGGTTATAAGATAGATTAGGATAAGAATGGATTCAAAGGAAAGTGTTATGCTATAAAATGTATAGATAAATAAAGGATAAGTGTTGAATAGATCTAAAGAGAGTTAGAGATTTTATCAAGACTAGATCATCCTAACATAATTAGAGTGTATGAGGAGTATGAAGATTTAAATCATTTCTACTTTGTGATGGAGTACTGTAAAGGTGGAGAACTCTTATAATAAATCTTAAATCATGGACCATTAAGTGAAAGAATGACGTAAATAATTATGAGATAATTATTTTCTGCTGTGGGATATTTACATGAAAGAGGAATAATTCATAGAGATTTAAAACCTGAAAATTTGATGTTAGCAAATGCTGATGGAGAATTTGATATCAGAATTATTGACTTTGGATTAAGTAAGCGCGAACAAATTATAAAAAAGCCATAACAATAGAGATCCAAATGCAGACATTAAACAAAAGTTGGAACTCCTATTTATGTGGCTCCAGAAGTGTTAAAAGGAGTGTATTCTGAGACATGTGATGAATGGTCTTTAGGTTGCATTATGTATGTTCTATTATTTGGAGAGCCTCCATTTAGTGGATAGAATATTCATTAATTGGAATAATAAATAAACAAACCTAATCTCAAGTTCAAATTAAATATATCAAATGAATGTTAGGATTTAATTACAAAATTATTAGAACCTAATCCAAATAAGAGAATTACATGTTTATAAGCACTTAAACATACATGGATGATACGTGATTCCAATTAATATAGGATGTTGACAACAATGTAAAGTGAAGAAAATAGTTTAGAAATTGAGAGAATAATTGAATTACTTAGATAATATAGTGAGAGTACTTAATTTAAGAAAGAAGCATTGAAAATTCTATTATCATAATTAACAGATTTATAATAGAAACATTTAAAAATGAAATTTGAAGAATTGGATAGGGATAATAGTGGAACTATTTAAGAAATTGAATTTCAAGAATTCTTAGAATAATAAGGCAAGACTTTATTATTAAAGTAATTACCAATAGAAAAATTTAGTAAAAATGATTAAGGGTTTTATATTTCATATACAGATTTTATGGCTGCTTTACTGAATCAACCATTTTATTTAAGTCAAGATAGATTGGATAATCTATTTATTTGGTATGATGTTAAACATAGACAATATATATCAAAAAATGATTATGGAAATGCAATGAGTAGAAGAGGATTAGTAATAAGTAAGGAGAAGATTGAGGGGATATTTTAAGAATTGAATTTGGGATTGATTAGATATGATCAATTTAAATAAGTCATGACTTACAATTCAATTAAGTAGAGGAATAGAATTATAAGTGAAAATAAATAAAAGAATGGATTAAAATTTATAAAGATGATTCCATGTGTTGGTGATGATTGTAAATTTTTATGATTTTTTATTAATTATATAAAAAACGGGTATGAATAGAATTGGATTTGGATTGTTATGTATAATGCTAGTGACAGCTAGCAGTAATGTGATGTTACAGACAGCAGATCATAGTGCATTTATTGAAGTGTTTAAAACTTATGTAATGAGTGTTGGTTTACAAGGAAATAGTCAAAACAAAGTGAATTCGGTGGAAGATTATTTGGAGAGTTATTAATGATGGTTCAGAAAGGTGAAACATTATAGAGTCTAAATGATCACGTTGAAGAGTTGAGAAAGCATTTGGCAGATGATGAATCAGAGGATGAGAAATATTTCAATGAAAAATAATAAGAAATGGAAGCTACATTTTCAGGATTAGCAAATGAAGTAGAAGAATTAAGAGTATCAGTTGAACAAGCAGCAAGTAGAATTTAAGTTTTGAATAATTAATAAACTATTATTGATGGATTATTTGCTAATGATTAATAAGCATATTAAAAGAGAGTTGGTGATTAAAATGCTATTTTGGATGTAATTGGATAATTGTTATTACGTGTGAGTGAATTACAATAAGGTGGTGGACATAGTTTGATTGAAAAAGATAATTTATTAGATGAAATCAAAGCATTAGGAAGAGGAAAACATATTGAAGTTTTAGCTTAAGTAATAAATTATTATTTACATTTAGATTACTGCTCATTTATAAACTGAATAAGTTGAACATATTTAAGAATTGTTGAATAGATTGAGAGATGCTGTCTTAAATAGTTTAGCAATTGATGAAGAGAAGGAATAAGAAAATATTAGATTATACAATAAATTGAGTGGTGAAATCAGAAGGTAATATTAATATATTTTATATATTTTATTAGTTCATTGGCTTAAAGTGATAGATTATATTAAGAATTAGATGCTCACTTTTAATAAAAGGAATTGGAATTGAATACTAAGAAATTGGCAGTTCGTGAAGTAGGATAAACATTGTAAGACAGAAATGATTAGAGGTGAATAATTTAATAATATTAATAGATAATTTATATTGGATAGAGTCTAAGAGGCATAAAAATTATTGAATGATAATTTAGATAGAATTGCAAGATGGTCTGTTGAAAGCGAATGAATATGAATTTGGAAATTTAATATTTTTTAATTTAATAAAATTAATGAACGCAGTGTTATCAAAACTTGATCCATTAATCACAAAATTTGGACTTGATAATACCGATCAAATGGAAATTCTTAAAGGACCATGCAGCAAAATTGGAGTNAAATTTTTATGATTTTTTATTAATTATATAAAAAACGGGTATGAATAGAATTGGATTTGGATTGTTATGTATAATGCTAGTGACAGCTAGCAGTAATGTGATGTTACAGACAGCAGATCATAGTGCATTTATTGAAGTGTTTAAAACTTATGTAATGAGTGTTGGTTTACAAGGAAATAGTCAAAACAAAGTGAATTCGGTGGAAGATTATTTGGAGAGTTATTAATGATGGTTCAGAAAGGTGAAACATTATAGAGTCTAAATGATCACGTTGAAGAGTTGAGAAAGCATTTGGCAGATGATGAATCAGAGGATGAGAAATATTTCAATGAAAAATAATAAGAAATGGAAGCTACATTTTCAGGATTAGCAAATGAAGTAGAAGAATTAAGAGTATCAGTTGAACAAGCAGCAAGTAGAATTTAAGTTTTGAATAATTAATAAACTATTATTGATGGATTATTTGCTAATGATTAATAAGCATATTAAAAGAGAGTTGGTGATTAAAATGCTATTTTGGATGTAATTGGATAATTGTTATTACGTGTGAGTGAATTACAATAAGGTGGTGGACATAGTTTGATTGAAAAAGATAATTTATTAGATGAAATCAAAGCATTAGGAAGAGGAAAACATATTGAAGTTTTAGCTTAAGTAATAAATTATTATTTACATTTAGATTACTGCTCATTTATAAACTGAATAAGTTGAACATATTTAAGAATTGTTGAATAGATTGAGAGATGCTGTCTTAAATAGTTTAGCAATTGATGAAGAGAAGGAATAAGAAAATATTAGATTATACAATAAATTGAGTGGTGAAATCAGAAGGTAATATTAATATATTTTATATATTTTATTAGTTCATTGGCTTAAAGTGATAGATTATATTAAGAATTAGATGCTCACTTTTAATAAAAGGAATTGGAATTGAATACTAAGAAATTGGCAGTTCGTGAAGTAGGATAAACATTGTAAGACAGAAATGATTAGAGGTGAATAATTTAATAATATTAATAGATAATTTATATTGGATAGAGTCTAAGAGGCATAAAAATTATTGAATGATAATTTAGATAGAATTGCAAGATGGTCAGTTGAAAGCGAATGAACATGAATTTGGAAATTTTAATAATTTTTAATTTAATAAAATAATGAACGCAGTGTTATCAAAACTTGATCCATTAATTACAAAATTTGGACTTGATAATACAGATCAAATGGAAATACTCAAAGGACCATGTAGTAAAATCGGAGTTCGACCTGCTCATGTGGTTTTTATCGGTGGTTCTGTTGCACTTTTCAGCATTTTATTTGGAATTGCAGCACGTTTTCTTTCCACATTCATTTCCATCATCTATCCAGCATACAGAAGCATTTAAGCAATAGAGTCATAAGGTATATTATATATTCATATTTTAGGTGAAAATGATGATAAATAATGGTTAACCTATTGGATTCTATTTTCAATCATCACTTTAGCAGATTCTACAATTGGATTTGCATTAGAATTCATTCCCTTTTACCATATCTTAAAATTAGCACTATTTGTTGCTTTATTCCATCCATAAGTTAAAGGAGCTGAGAAATTGTATGATTAGGTATTTTTTCATTTAAATCAATATAGTTTGTTCATCCTCTTTATTTGAAACATCATGAAAAAATTGATAAAGGTTTCTAAAAGGTTTAAGAGAGAGTTAAATAACAAGTCTAATGAAAATGATATTGTATGACCACGTATATATATATATATAAATTTTAAATCATTTGAATGTTCCAGTGGCTCTCATTTTACATTCATTTAATGATTGAGTAAGATACTTTATTTCTTTTCGTTATTGATTGTATTTAAACACTATTGTTTATCTTAGGAATGATTCCTCAACTTAATGAAAATCAAAGTGGATCATATGTACACTTCTGAATTCTGTTGTTTAATTGATTTCTAATCTAGCTGAACCATCCAACATTACTTAAAAGATAGCTCCATAACTTGATATAGAGATCTTAAATACCCATTAAAATTTTATTCAACCTTATTTAAAGTTGCTATAGTAATCTGAGCATAATCTTTAAATGGCATTTACAAATTTTACAATGCTTTTATTTAAGTAAAACTATTAATAGTGGCTTCATGATGAAACAGAAAGAACAAATCCTTCTCTGAACTTATTTCAATTTTAATTGATTATGGATTACTATCAATACCCCTTAATATAAACAATATCCTTACTAGTTATAAAACTCTTAAACGTATAGGTTCTGGTTAACTTAGTTCCTAGACTTCTGAGAACCGATCTTAGAATCGAATATTTATGTTTAAAATGCGATCATATAGGACCTTATGTCCATCCTTTAAAGATGGATCCAAGTAATCGATTTCAGCAAAGTCAAGTGGATTCATTTATACAGCATTCAACCATGAACTACCTGATTTCATTTGTTATTTTGAAATTATTTAAATCAGTTAATAATAATAAGATTAACTAATATATGAATAGTATTATGTGTGATAGACAATTAAAATTAATAGAAGATTATATTAATGTGAGAGTATAATACATTTATATAAACAATACTTATTTGTAAAAGTTCAATAAAAAATATAATATATGTCTTATGAGGAATTATTATAAATAGTAGTAATTATATTTAAAATTCATGTATGAAATTCAATAAATATAGGATAAGTTGTAATATGAATAAGATATTACTAATAAATATAAGTAGAATTTAATTTGTATAATAATTCACAAAATATATTAATAAAAATAAATAAAATGATTGACATGGTTAAAAATAGATTAGAAATAGAATTTAATGCTGTCCTAAATGCCATAGATGAAGGGGTTTTAGAAAATATGACAGTAGAAGTTGATAAACAAAACAATTCAATAAATTATAAAAAGTGGTTTGTTACTATATATGGGAAAGACGGTACGATTTGGGAAGGAGGAGAGTTTCCAGGAGTTTTAAATTTCCCTAAAGGATACCCAAGTGATCCACCTACATATTAGTGGACTTTGTATGGAGGATAATTTTAACATATGAATATTTTTGAAAATGGAGTAACATGCATAGATATTCTAAACAATAAAATAGGTTACACTCCTGCAACAACATGTATAGAAATATTGAAGGGAATGGAAGGATTTTTGTATAATCCAAATCCGAAATCTCCTACAATGGGATCTTTGGCAAAAATATATGTGGAGAATAAATAACAATATGAGAAATTAATAAAAGCATTTGTGAAAAATTATATGATAGAAAAATAAAAAAAATAATAGTGATATATATATATATAATATAAAAAAATCAAACACGGGGCAGTTCATTATTTGGGTAATTAGAATAATCTAAAAGCTTTTTGATTAAAACTGTTAGTATTCCTACTGTTGGAATAGATACAAAAATGGCAACAATTGGTAAGACGTATGATGGATCTTCATCTACATCTTCTTCACATTTCTTTGATTCTTAATTAAAAGTATAATTTTCATAACATAATTCACAGGAGTTTTTGAATGAACATTTTAAACAATTTTCAATACATTTCTCGCATATTCCTTATTCATTTTTGTACATTTGAATTTGATTACATACACTTGATAGGGTGCATTACCCATTTTCTAATTTTAAAAAGTTTGTGACATTGCTATCACATTCTTAACAAATTGATGTACCAATTGTTGGATCATTAGAGATTATACATTTAAGACATCCATTGGAACATTTGTGACATTGATTATCTTATAAAAAGTACCCATTATTGCATGAATTACATTAATCTTTATTTAAACAACTTTTACAATTAAGTACATTACATTTAGTACATTTATTGATAGGAGTATTTTCCAAATAATACCCTTCTAAACATAGTGTACAATCTAATTCAGTAGTGCATAGTTTACATCCTTCTTAGCAATTTAAGCATTTTTCAGAATTATGTAAATAATATGCTTAAATGCAAGTGGTGCATTTATCAAATGCACTACAAGTTAGACAATTCTCTTAACATTTATTACATAATTTACTATTTTAATAATACCCATCTTTACAAGTAAAACAAATATCTTAAGAACAAGATAGGCAATTCTCTTAACATTTATTACATTCTTAACCTTGAGAATAATACCCTTCAGCACATTCTATACAGGCTGTTTAATCACAACTTTCACAATTAGGTTTACAAGGTACACAATTAGATTAAGAAATGTAATATTTGTTATTATTGCATTATGTACATTAATTTTCTATACAAGTAATACAATTAGGTTAACATGGAAAACATTATCCATCTTTAAGAAAATAATTATCTTAACATTATGAACAATTTTCATTATTACAAATTTTACATGGACTCTTACAACTTACACAAATGTTGTTTTCAGGCACATAAGGTTAAATACATTTAGAACATTTATTCTCATCGCAAATTAAACAATTTTCAGAACATTTTATACATGTATAATCTTTGAGATAATATCCTGCATTGCATTTTGTACATCCAAATTGATCACATTCTAAACATGTTGTATAGCATTTTTAACATTAATTATCTTATAAAAAATAGTGAGTTTTAATACAAGAATAACAGATATTAAGAGATTAGCAAGTAATACAAGGACTTTTACAAGGTTAACATTGAGAGGAATCTAAAAAGTATCCATCTTAGCATTTTTAACAGACATTATTATTACAATATGTACAAGGAGATTAACATTATATGCATTATCCATTTAATAAATAATAACCTGTAATACAACTTGTACATGTAGTAAGATTTGTACATGATTGACATGTTTATTAACAATCTAAACACTAATTATTAATCAGATACTTTGATTATATACATGTTGTACATTATGTACTACTATATTTACATTAATCACAAGGAGGATCACATTTAATACATTTAAGTTGATCCTTATCATAATAATAACCAGGTTGACATGGAACACATTAATTAGATTTTTATTCATATTCAGGTAAACATATTTTACATGTTTTCACATTATTTTAGATAATACATTCTTTACAATTTGTCATTTCACATATTTATTAACAATTTTAATTTGTTGTTACTTGATAATCATTTTAACATGAAATACATTTATTTTCATTATCTTCACATGTTTTACATGGTGATTTACAAGGTTGACAATCATCATTTATTAAAAAATAACCATCAGCACATTATTCACATTTTACATTAGAATTATTAAATGAGCATTTTGATTTACATTTTTTTGGACATTATATACAGGTTGTTGAATTATATTTATATGCAGTATATGAACATTCAGAACAATTTGTTGGAGATGTACATGCTTAACATTCTGGTGGACATTTATAACAAGATTTATCAGTAGTATTATAATAATATCCAATTACACAACTTGTACATGATGTAGAATTGGTACAACTATGACATCCATCCTTTACATTTGAACATGATATACATTCTGCATTTTGAAGATATTTATCTTATTTACAACTTTTACAATTATTAGGTTAAGATTCACATTCTTAACAATTATCACTACATTTAATACAATCATTATTAAATGGAAAATAATTTATATTACATTCTAAACAATTATTACTTGATTATTCACAAGTTAAACATTTTTATGAACATTACATACATGTATTAGTTTATACATCTAAATACATTTTATTCTTACAAGAAGTACAATGTTTAGCATTCTTATCACAAGATTTGCAATTATCATCACATACTAAACATTTATTATTTGAAGAATAATAAGATATTACACAATTTTGACATGTATCTTCTGTATAACATAATGAACATTCAGAATTAGAACAAATTTTCAATTAACATTTCTTATCAATAGTAGTAACATATTCATTTTTACATTTTATACATTCTGTATATGATATACATTCAATACAATTCTAATCACATTATTAACATGTATTATTTTATAAAAAATAACCAGTTTTACATGTTGTACAATTAGTATTATTATTATTACATGTAAAACAATTTGTTGAACATATTTAACATGTATTATTTTAATCCATATATTAACCATCAATACATATTCCTTATATTGGATCTTAATTAATACATCTCATATTAATTGTATCAAATTAGTATCCATTTTCACAACTTAAACAATGTTATTAAGATGTACATGTTTTACATGGTAATTCACATTTAATACATTTATTTAAATTATTTAAATAATATGTCTCATCTATATAATTTGTACAAGTCTCTTCTGTTATATCACATGTCTAACAAGGTGACTTACATTATTAACATATTTTATTAATAAGTACTTTACCTTAATCACAAGAATAACATTCATTTGATTAATCAAAACATGTTTTACAATTTAAATCACATTTAAGACATATTAAATCCTTTTCATAATAACCAGTTATACATTTTGTACATTAAGATGAATTCTTACATTTTGAACAATTTTATGGACACACATTACAATTTGCTTATTCATTTGTAACTCTTTCTTCTAAATAATTACCATCCATACATTTTGTACAATAAGATATTGATCTACATAATTGACAATTATCTGCACATAATTAACATTATTTTGTAGAATCTAAATAATATCCATCTTAACATTATGAACATTATGTTTAATTATCACAATTTTTACAATTTTATATTGATTATGAACATAATTCACATTTATCACTTGATATATAATACCCATTTACACATGATTTACATTATGTTTCTGATTAACAATCTAAACATGGAGATTAACATTATACACAATCTCCATTTTATTAATGATAATTATTATTACAAGATGTACAAACATTAGCCCAAGAACAAGTCTTACATTTACTTTCACATTATTTACAGAATTCACCATCTTAATAATAACCATAATCACATTCTATACAAGTATTTTATGTTATATCTGAACATTTAATACATAAATTATCAACACAACTTAAACAATTTGAATTTAAACACTTTTTATAACATTATCCATTTTCATCTTTATCATATTCACAAACACATTCATTTTTTATTTAATCATATTTAAAATAATTATTACATTTTTTACAATATCCTTTACCATCATTCTAAAATTCACATACTTCACAATTTTCACAATATTCTAATAAACCCATAAAATTATTAATTATTTTATCCAAATCAGGATTCCCAAGTATAGAATCAGATTTATAACTAATTAATGTTAAGTATTGCATATAAACTCCAGATTCTTGTAAAAATCTATTTTCTAATAAGATTCTTCCTTTCACTAATGAAAGACCATCTGTAGTTATCATTTATATAGTTAAAATTCCATCTTTATAATATTACAATATCTTAAAATTATACTTTCCTCTTGTAAAAGCTTGATCTGATTAGATTTATTCTTTTAGTCCTATTTCCCATCCCAAACCTTAAGGTTATGAAATCTATTTCAAAGCTATTGTGAATATGTTATTATGAGAATATGGAAAATATTCACCATTTAAATTATTACTATTTTCAACTCTTTATAAATTTTTCATAATCAATTATGAAATTGTCATTTTTTCTTGAATACCTTAATTTGGATCATAGATATATTAGTTATTTAAGATTTATTGTAAATTAGAATTAGATTATATATCACATTCTTTTATTTTACATATTTAATCTTAAAAGTTATTATTATCTTATGAGATTTTGACTGAAAAATCAACTATCCTCTTATCATATTCTTTGATGCAATTATATTAAGATTATATTTCATAATAACCAGTTTTACAAATGCACTTTCCTTCAAATAATATTCTATTTGATATTTAATCATTGCAACTTAAACATTCATTTGGATTATCAACGCTACATGTTATGCATTTCTAATGTCATTGAAAACAATTCTCACTCTTAAGAATACCTAATAATTCTTGGTGATGTTCTGCACAAATACATTCACCATTAACCAATATTCTTGTAGGTGCACAACTTAAGCACTTGTCTTAATCATCACAAGAACCACATTTGAAATTACAAGCATTACTAATACTTACAAGTAATGCATAAATTAAGATCATTAAAAAAAATTAATTATTACTCAAAAAATACTTTCTCTATCAATCCTCAAACCATTCTTGTATTTTTTTTGATATAATAATATGTTATATTTGACTTTATATATATTTATTATTCATTCTATTCAACCCTAAATTTTTGCAGATATTAATTCTATTCATAATAATTTATCATATGTTAATATTCGACAATTTATATCACTTAAAGCAAATTAGAATCTTATTTTACTAAAGAGTTCCATGAGAAAATTCTTTCCAAACCATTAACAAAAAAATATAGAATAATCCAATGGAAAATTTTAGTATTAATTTATATCAATATTCCATTTTCTCAAAAGATTTAGTCCTCCTTATTTAAGCCACTAATAAAGAATTTCATCAACAAGTGTTCTTTTATAACAGTTCATATAAATAATCATAAGGAATTTCTGGTTTTATACTAAATAATCATTTACTCTATTACTATGTTTTAAACTTTCTAACCTTTACAGACAAGCTTTCATTATTCATTTTATATAATAATTACATTCATACAGTATTTCAATTATCCAAATTTCGGATCAGTTTTCTCAAACATATTAGTAAATAGAGTATTAAATTTATCAAAAAAAGGGTCTTATTTTAATGTATGAAAGTATTAATTATATATAAACTTTATATAGAAACCTAAGCAAAAATCTATATTAATAAGTTAAAATAGATTTAATTAGTTTTATTCTAATTATTTGATTTATTCTAATTATTTGATTATATTTCTCTCAATACATTATTCTAAATACCTTAATTATTATATTTTTATGATTGGAATTGAATCCCTAGCTAAGGAAATTAAGTATTCCTTAAAAAGCAAAAATGTACTTAGATTCTAATTAATAAAGGCTGATGAAATGATCATGGACTCTTATCTTTTAGGATTTCTATAAGGAAAGAATCATAATAAAAATAATTTTGCATAAAATTTAGAACTAATCAAAAATTTAAGAGAATTTATTGAGATACAAGTGTATACAAATGAATAGATTTTAAATCTATATAATAGAGCTTTAAATGCAAATTAAGATGTTTATTTTATTTTTTAATATGTTAGCTTCTACAGCTTTGTAATAATATTGAAGAAAATACATTTAAGTAAATCACCTTTATTTATTTAGAATTGAGTAATTCAATGAAAATCAATTTTAACCAATAAAGTGTTAAGTTATTTAAAACAATTAATAATAATAGAATTCAAATTAATAGAATTTTTAAATATTTGAAGATGAAGAAGAAAAGAATTTTTAATTTGCTTAAAGAATATAACTTGAGTATATTTTATATATTAATATATTTTAGACTCGATACATAATATTTGAAGGAGGTAAATACTTAGATATAGATGGAGGATATGATAAGAAAGAAGAAAAAATAATAAGAAGATGAATAAAAAAATTAAATTGAATGTAAGATATGTTTGGAAGTTATTCCTTTTATTGAAATGGCAACTTTACAATGTTCTCATATTTATCATTAAAAATGTTTGAATCAATATTGTGTTACTTAAATATAAGCACGTCAATTCCCTCTCTGTTGTCCCACAATTGAATGCAAAAAACCTATGATATATTCTGATTTAACTGAAGTATTAGATGATCAAAATCTTTATGAATTTTAATAGTTTACTTTCAAATAATATGTTGAAAGTCATGGTGATGAAGTATATTAAAAATTTCATTATTAAGTATTCATGGTGTCCAACTCCTGATTGCAAATATGTATTTATAGCTGATGATGCCTAATTTAATTGTCCTTCTTGTACAAAATCCTATTGTCTTCATTGTAAAATAGAATATCATCATGGATAAACATGTTAAGCTTATAAAGAGAAAATCTAAAATGAATTAAGACAAAAAAATGAAAAAATTTTAGATGATTAATTCTTTTAATTTGTTTAAGGTGCTAAATATAAACAATGTCCTTAATGTAAATTTTGGGTAGAAAAGAATTAAGGATGTAATCATATGACTTGTAGATGTAAATTTCAATTTTGTTATGTTTGTGGAGGTGTTTATGGTAGATGTCATTGTAGATGAAGAAGATGACTAATTTTAAGGTGGTTATTTTGATATATAAATAGTTTGTTTTATAATATTATTCATTATTGATATGATATTTGTATCCTTATTATTTTAGTAGAAGTATATTGATTAAACAGTTGAGAATTATATTAAAAATAATTTATGTTGATTATCATAAATACTTATATAAAAATTTCAAATGAACTTCTCTGAATCAAATGATTTTCAGAATGAGGATTACAAATTTGAAGAAGTAGAAGATTTTATTGATTTCGAAGGATTGGGTTAGAATGATATGATGAGATATGAGGTCGATTTGGAAAAGTATGAATTATTTTATAGCCTTTGATAGTATAGAGTAAGTGAATAATAGGAATTTAATTGAGGAGAATTAGAGTGAGTTTTAGAAAATATCTTCAACTCTTTGTATGAGGGAGGAGGCAGAATCTGATTATTCAGAAAATGAATCACAATTTCAAGGGACGTAAGGGAATTTAGTATTATGATTTAAAGTCAATCGAGAACATGTAATTCTAAGACATTGTAAAAATCAATTAGAAAGATGAATAGAAGTAAAGAAGAACCTGTAAATTTTGAATGATTGATAGTATTTTTTAGAAAAGAAAGATTAAGAAATGGAGTGAGGAGGAGAATAAACGTTTGGAAGATTTGTTTCAAATATATAAAGGAGATTGGGAGATTATTGTTAAATTTTTAGAAGGAAGGACAGTTTCATAATGTAAATAACACTGGTAGCGTTTGAGTGGTGGATAGGAGAAGAAGAAGAAGTGGACAGAAGAAGAGAACCAGATAATTTTATCATTTACAAAGGATAATCCATAATTTAATAATTGGGCTTTGATTGCTGCAAGTATGAAATATTGATTAAAGAGAGGAATGCAGGGTAGAAATGGAAAACAAATAAGAGAGCATTATATGAATTAATTACGTCCTGGGATTAAAAATAAGTAGAGTTGGAATGAGGAAGATGACAAGTTGTTACTAAGTTTATATTAGAGATATGGAAGTAAATGGTGTTAAATAAATAAACATTTTGAAGGGAGAACAGTATGATATATGTAGTTAATGAAGGAAATAATGTTAAAGAATAGATATAATAAATTGTAAAAGGGTAACAATTACATTGACCATTTTCTAAATATAGATGATGAACCACAATAATAATAATAATCTCATACATTCTCTTTTAATTGATTATATATATATATATATTTAATAATTATTTATATAAATGGGATCAATTTGTTAATCACATTCTTGTACATATGAATATACAACTCAATTAAGTACAAGTGTAAACTTTCTAAAACCAATAATTGATTAACAAATGGAAGATGAAATACTCGAAGAATCCTTGTCTCCTATCGATTTTGACAAGGAGTTTACTACAACTAAATCTATAATACCCAAATCTCCAGATATAATGTAAAAGTCACCTTTAAATTCACCTACTCCTAATGATTCAGTTGTGATATCAAAATTTCATATAACATCTGATGATTTTGTGAAGTTTCGATATCAGAACTATGCTGATTCTTATTAGATAGAAAGATCTTTGGGTTCTGGTAGTTATGGAGAAGTATTTATAGTAAGAAATAAATAAACAAGTATATTTATGATATTTAATTTATAGATTAATTAAGAGCTATGAAATAGATAAAAAAACAATAAAGTTCATTAAGTAAGAAATGTTTAAAAGAAATGGAAATCTTATCAAAATTAGATCATCCATTTATTGTTAAGGCAATTGAAGTATTCTAAGATGAACATAGTTATAATATGATTATTGAGTAAATATATTTTAAATAAATATAGATTACTTTAAGGAACTGATCTATAGGAAGATATTTAGAATAATAATAAATTTACAGAAGAGAAGGCAGCTAATATTAGTTATTAATTGTTGTTGGCAATAAGTTACATACATAATTAGGATGTAGTACATAGAGATATTAAACCAGAGAATATTTTATATCAATACAACAATGGTAATACATTAATCAAACTTATTGATTTTGGTATATCCACTGAAATAAAGAGGAATAGAAAATTAAGTTCTTAATTAGGATCAGTAAGATTATTAAAAACTAATTTAAGATGTATTTTATGGCTCCTGAAATTTTTAGTAAAGACTATGGCAAATAAATTGATATTTGGGCTTGTGGAGTTACTTTATTTTATTTAGTTCATAAAAGATATCCATTTATGGGTAAGACTAATTAAGAGATGAAAAATGCAATTAAAAGTGGAAAAGTCTAATTTGATAAATCAATTACACCAGAATTATAGTGTTTATTGATTAAGATGTTATAAGTTAATCCAAATAAAAGAATTACTGCTTAATAAGCATTATAAGAGGATTGGTTTATTAAACATAAATTTGTAAATTAAATTAATCAATAACTTATATCTAAATTATTAAATTATCATTCGACTACTCTATTCGAAGAACTAATATTCTCACTTATAACATATTATTGTTAAAATTGTGATGATCATGGTTAAGCCATTTAAACATTTTTATATTTAGATACAGATCAAGATGGTTAAATTTCGAAATAAGAATTTAAAAAATCATTATATTAATTCAATATCAATAATTTATCTTAATAAATTGATGATCTTTACACAACACTTAATAAATAGTCAGATGATACACTCACTTATAAAGGTATATATTATTAAAATTGTAGAATTTCTAGCAGCATCAGTAACTAGAGATAAATTATAAACAAAAAAATGTTAGAAATTTTGTTTTTAATTAATAGATTATGATCAAGATGGCAAAATATCTGAATCAGATTTCTGTCATTTGATGGGTAAGAACCAATCTAATATTTGGCATCTTATAAACATTTCAGATAGTTTATATATAACAGAAGAAGAATTTTATAGTATGTTTAAATCTTGTTGAAATATACTTTTATATATATATATATAACTTTGAAGATGTTATTAATCTACTATTTGCCATTAATAATTTTTAATTTTTATTTTATGTTTAAACCTAATTTCTCAGGTCAATCCAAATCTCTTCCCTAAGATGACTTTGAAAAATATATCAAAACAACCTTATAAGAAAATTATTACATGACTTGTTTAGATACATGTTTTAATGATTATTCTACACCAATTTGTATCAAAATATATATATATTTTTAATTAGCAGGATAAGAGAAAGTTTGTTTGGCTAAATGTCTTGATAGAGCATATGATTCCTTGAGACTTGTACAAAAAATTATTGATCCTTTTGATAATTTAAAATAAAAGAAGTTTTACTATAAATTAGATGGATAGAATGTATTAGGTTTGAAGAAAGATTAAATGTTATGATTATTAATTAATTATGAAAATATTGTTGTGCTTTGTATTTTTTATATATGCTCAAGCTGAATGCTGTAAATATAATCTCATAACACTTTAGACTATTATCAATATGGAATCTAACATTATTGTGATGAATGTTGCTATTGGTATGATGGAAATTGGTTTTGTGAAACATATTAATATTGCTACACTTTTATTGCCATTACTATTTCAATTTGGATTGCCATATGTTTAATCTATCTTAGTCTTTATTTTTATGTTCGAAATAAAACTATGCAAAGAATAACATTGATCCATAATAGAGCAGCTAATGCATAAAGAGAAAAAAGTGTTAATAATAATTAAAAAAAGAGTGAAATACTTAATGAAACAATTGAAGTAGCTATGATGGATGTTCAAATATCAAATGATTAATTATGAACTATATTTTTTTTTAATTTAATGTTGTTGCTATTTATTTTCATTGTGCCTCTCTTAAGTTAAACATGTTTCAGTAATAAGGCAGCTGTAGATTGTAAATATTTGAAATGTTGTACTCAAGAAGGCTTTTGTGCTGTATATGAAAGTGAATGTTACTATAGTGCTGAGAAATGTACACATTTTTTTTAACATTTCCATTAGACTCATGTGATTATGCTGAATGTGATTATTGTTGTATTTATAATGGAGATACTGTTGAATGTGGATCTCAAGATTAATGCTTAGCTTGGATTTTCATTTTGTTAGGTTCTTGGCTATTATTGACATTAATTGTAATTTTTGCAGCTATCAATCGTAAAAGAAATATTGCCACTCGTATGATTGTGATTGCTGAAAAAGCTAGGCTAGTTGCTTAAGATAATTCAAGAAAATCTATAGTCTCATAAATTATTGGATCAGAAGAACAATATGGGAAAGAATTTTAAATTGATAGAGATAACTATAATTTGTAATTATGATTTTTGTGTTTTTTTTTCTTTATTTCTAAACCTTAGAATTCTACTTTGTATATTTGTCTCTTTCTTATTAATATAACTATTCATTTACTATAATACTTAATTGTTTATCATATTCATTCTAATCTTTTTAGAGGGGATATCCATAAAAATAATAAGAATTACTAATTAAGCAACTCATTATAATAAATATACAAAAAGATCTTATTAAGAGCTATTCTTATTATGTATTATTATAAATTTCAATAAGATATAAAAAGCTTTTATACTTGATTTAAAATAAATATCAAAACATTTTATTAAAGATCATAAGATTGTAAATAATTTATTAATTTGATGATATTTAATAAGAATGAAAAATGTTTATATTTTAAAGAATCTTTAAGCTTTCCAAATAATTTTATATTTGAAACTCATTCTAATAAATGAGTGATCATTAAGATTAAATGAAATCCAGATAATATTGTTTTTTTATATTAATAATCATTTTAGGTTAAATTTATTAATTTTATTTTTTTTTTTTATATAATAAGTATTTACATCTTATATATTTTCTATTTGTTTATTAGTTTCAATAAATCTAGTATTATTAATCTCTTTATTTTATGATTGAAATAAGAATGAATAATGAACAAAGATAATATCAACATATTTTTCAATTTTCAAAGATAGATTAAAATAATAAAATAGTCATCTATATAGTGTCTAATTTATAATTTCAGTATAATTCAATTAATGTTAATTGCATCTATGTTAATCTCAATAACTTGACTCACATTTAATCTTTTTCATTGTAGTTTATATTTTTTATGTTTTACAATAATTTAAAGAAAATCAAATTTATAATTTTAGATATGATTATATAAGGAAAATACTCAAAATTTATAATAATAATGATATAATATATATAAAATCTTTAAGGATCTCATATATTTAAATATTCTTTATATTTATTGCATAACTTAAATCTCAAAAATATGAATATAAGTTATGAAATCATTTAAATTAAATAATAGAATTTAAGACATATAACAAATTATATAATTATTAGATGAGAATTAAGTCAAATATTAAATAATTACTTTTGTATTACTATTAGATTTATTCTTTTTTTAGATGGATAATTATTATTATAGCCTTGATTATAAGGAATATAAAAGAAAGTATAAATTATTATATTTTTAGTATATTGATCATCATTTAATGTATTAAATAATGAATAAGGACTGTTAATTGATTATATATTAGAAATAGATTATAATATATATAAATTAAGTGAATTACTTGTTAATAAGTTTACGATTAGAATTTTTAATTATAACAGTTAATTTAAAAATCAATGAAGTCGAACAACGAAAACAATTATGTACGAGTATCATACAATAACTTTGTAACAACACGTAATCGATAATTTGGTAATGAAATTACAAACATACAACGATTACCAACTCGATCTACATCATAATTCATCTGTTCCAAACCTATGTTGAAGATCGAAGAAGAAACACCTCTTCCTGTTCCTGAATTCGTAAATCCATATGTTGCTGATATTTTTGAATATCTACGTGTCAATCAACATAAATTTATGTGTTAGACTCCATTTTATATGAACTTACAATTAGACATTACTAATTAGATGCGTTCAATTCTAATAGATTGGTTAGTTGATGTGCATCTTAAATTTAAATTATAATCAGAAACACTCTATATGACTATTAATTTAATTGATAGATACCTTGCAAAAAATACTATTATGCGTAATAAACTGTAATTAGTTGGAATTGCTTCACTCTTCATAGCATCAAAATATGAAGAAATATATGCTCCTGAACTTAAAGATTTTGTATGTGTTTGTGACAATGCATACACAAAAGAAGAAATACTTGGTATTTATCACCCTTTATTATACCAGAAATGGAAAGTAAAATTTTACTAACAATCTAATTTCAATTGACATTTACTTCTCCACTCAAATTCCTTNTTCAATTAATGTTAATTGCATCTATGTTAATCTCAATAACTTGACTCACATTTAATCTTTTTCATTGTAGTTTATATTTTTTATGTTTTACAATAATTTAAAGAAAATCAAATTTATAATTTTAGATATGATTATATAAGGAAAATACTCAAAATTTATAATAATAATGATATAATATATATAAAATCTTTAAGGATCTCATATATTTAAATATTCTTTATATTTATTGCATAACTTAAATCTCAAAAATATGAATATAAGTTATGAAATCATTTAAATTAAATAATAGAATTTAAGACATATAACAAATTATATAATTATTAGATGAGAATTAAGTCAAATATTAAATAATTACTTTTGTATTACTATTAGATTTATTCTTTTTTTAGATGGATAATTATTATTATAGCCTTGATTATAAGGAATATAAAAGAAAGTATAAATTATTATATTTTTAGTATATTGATCATCATTTAATGTATTAAATAATGAATAAGGACTGTTAATTGATTATATATTAGAAATAGATTATAATATATATAAATTAAGTGAATTACTTGTTAATAAGTTTACGATTAGAATTTTTAATTATAACAGTTAATTTAAAAATCAATGAAGTCGAACAACGAAAACAATTATGTACGAGTATCATACAATAACTTTGTAACAACACGTAATCGATAATTTGGTAATGAAATTACAAACATACAACGATTACCAACTCGATCTACATCATAATTCATCTGTTCCAAACCTATGTTGAAGATCGAAGAAGAAACACCTCTTCCTGTTCCTGAATTCGTAAATCCATATGTTGCTGATATTTTTGAATATCTACGTGTCAATCAACATAAATTTATGTGTTAGACTCCATTTTATATGAACTTACAATTAGACATTACTAATTAGATGCGTTCAATTCTAATAGATTGGTTAGTTGATGTGCATCTTAAATTTAAATTATAATCAGAAACACTCTATATGACTATTAATTTAATTGATAGATACCTTGCCAAAAATACTATTATGCGTAATAAACTGTAATTAGTTGGAATTGCTTCACTCTTCATAGCATCAAAATATGAAGAAATATATGCTCCTGAACTTAAAGATTTTGTATGTGTTTGTGACAATGCATACACAAAAGAAGAAATACTTGGTATTTATCACCCTTTATTATACCAGAAATGGAAAGTAAAATTTTACTAACAATCTAATTTCAATTGACATTTACTTCTCCACTCAAATTCCTTGAGAGATAGATCTCAGGAGCCAATCTGTGTGACAAAATCAATTATGCTTCCAGAATGATTCTAGAATTATCTCTACTTGACATTAAATGTCTTAAGTATTTATATACAATCTATTTTCAGATTTTCATCATCCCTACTTGCTACCACTGCCATTCTATTGGCAATTAACTTACTTCGATCTCCACAAGTATTACCCTCTTCCCTTCATTATGTTGATAATTAAGAAGATCTTAGATAATGTTTACAAGAATTCTTACCAGCCATTAAATTACTGGAAAGTAGTAATATGACAGCAATTAAAAGAAAGTATTCTCTTGATAAGTTCAATAAAATTGCAGAACAACTTCTAGCAATCTTACATAATTAAAAATGAACTATATATAATCAATTAAATATTTACTACTATTTCGAAGTCAAAATTATATTTAATTTTATAATAAATTATATAATAAATTCATTGTTATTTATAAATTCAAATATAAAACTCTATTTTTCTGAATAAATTATGCATAATATAGTAATTATACTAAATATATGATATATATTTATAAATTTTAATATATTTATTTATCGTACTTAATTATATTTTTATATATTATTAATTTATATCATTATATCAACTAAAGGCATATTTTTTATAAGGTTATTCAATTTCGTAAATATTATTACACTTATAGAATTTAAATCATAATAAATAAACGTAAATATTTTACATATTACAGAATTCAATAATCTATTAAGTATTAATTTATTTAATTAATTAAAAGCTCTTAATGTTAATATAAATTATAAAACCATTTATAATCTATAATTATCTTGTTAATACTTTTAATTTAATTTATGATATAGTTATAATTAAATCAGAAATATAATTAATTAAATATTATATTCACTCAAATATTTAATTCTTCTATGAATTCTTCTCATTATATTAAAAATCGCTTTGAAAATAATGAAATATAAATTTTATCAACTTTTTAATTAATAATAAAATAAAAAAATAAATTATATATTTATTTCATAAATCAATCTAATAAAGATATTCAATACTATTATAGATAGTCTATTTTGTCTGAATTGTTATTTTTATTTTAGAATATTTAAAATCCATTAAGTCTACAAATTAAAATTTAGTATAATTAAAGAGAAAAGTTTATTCTAGTAGTTAAATATATTGATTATAAAATTTGAGTTTTATTTAAATATAAATTTCTATGGCTAATAAGGAATACTGACAATTTCATCTAAGATTCTTCTATACTATAATATTTTAAACAATAAATAAATATTCTAATTAGATTCTAGAATATTGCAATTTAAATTAATTCTAAACTACTCTTTTTCAAATCTGTTTGTCTTTTCAAACTTAATCATTCTAGAAGTATTTTAATTTAGAGGAGTGTCAGCTTATTCATAATGATGACTTATTTTTCTAAGTAATTTCTAATTTTAATTTGTTGAAATCTTATTAAGATGGAGATTTTTGAATAATTCATTTAGATTTTAGATTCTCATTTAAAATATAGACATTAAAAATTATTTAATAGAGAGAGAGAGATTGAATATTAGGGAAGCTACTACATTTTTAATTAAATAAATTATTATAAAAAGAGGAATTTAAAGGAACTTTTATAAAAGCTTTTTTATAAATAAATTGGATTATAATCAGATTCTCTATTTTTAAATTGCACATTATTTTTAACATTTCATATCTTCCGATATTTTATATAATTAAGCTATGTATTGAATTATTTTAAAAAGACAAAGCAATATAAAAATCATATAATCAGTATTCATAACTATTTAGGCTCAAATTTTTTCACTAAGTATCCATTCCACATGTACAATTACTCAGTAAAGTCTTGAGAGCGAAATTTTCTTCTTCTAGCTGTAGTTTCCCCATCAGAATTCTTTCTTCCTGATTAGATGAATGTGTTATTTTATGAAGATTAACTTGATAATTCGAAATCATCGATATAATTGATAGGACTGTTGTCCCCATCTATAATTAAATGCTTCAAAGCACTCTATGTTAAGTTTTGCATGTTTAATTTTTATTAATAAAATGTATATGTACTCCAATCTCATTTTTGAATATCAAAATTGATCATCAGAAATTCACATAATTGAAACTCTAAAGAAAATTTTTAATTCCTATTCAAGTGAAAATGATTATATTGATGATATTGGATGTTAATAATATATAAAATGATTGTTAAGAATACTTAATTTGTTCTAAAATATAATTAATCTAAGTATAAGATCATTATAGAATTCTAATCTCTGTATATTTCAAACATTTGATTGAAAAAATGAGATTCAAATTAATGATGTTATAGTTAATAAATCATAAATAATTAAAATCAATAATAAAGTATTAATCTGTTAATTATCTAGACAAGAAATATCAGAAATGTATTTATATATATTATTATCTATATATATATAATCAAATAAAAAAAATAATAGAAATAAATGCATAATCAGAAAATACTAATAAATTTATATTATATGATAATAAAATATTTAATCTTAAATTTGAGAGTATCAATATAAATTTAATTATTAGTATAATTGAAATATAATTAAATAGAATGAATAAATAAATTAAATATTTGAAGATAGATAAAAATTTGATATTCCATAAATTATATTTTAAAGATAATATAAAATTAATAAGTCTATTGTTTTATACATTCAGTAAATAGACTTATTAAATTTTACAATACTTTAGCATTAGTTTATAATGAATTTCTATATTATTTTTTAAATAATTAAAATTTAATATTTAATTAACCACTTTTGAAATGACAGAAGAATCAAATTCAATCTTAACAACAATAAAGTATTACAAAAGTATTTTAAAATTTCCATCTTTTCCAAAATAATATTCAGAATTAGATGAGACTTAAGAATAGAATGAACTTTTTTTTTGTAATTCTAAATAAAGAAAAGAGGAAAGTTTAAGACTCTTAAAAGAATGGGCTTAAAATAGAATGGAATTATTTGAAAAGAATAGAGAAATTGTTGAAGAATTAGCTAATTCTTGTGATTATAGAATACGATTATCAGTTGATTTTCTTTAAATTGTTTACAAATTTTTCAATGAGAAATATTTTCATGAATAATAATATGCTCAATTCCTTATTACAAAACCTCAACCAGCATTAAAATAAAATCCACTTAATTAATAATTATATTCTACAATAGGAATTTCTATATCAACATTTGAAGAATACAATTTAAAAAGATTAGAAAAAATTGCAAATTTTGCACATTCAATTCAAACTGAAATACTAAAAGCATAATCATTTCATGATTTAAGTGATATGGATAAATAATTAGATTTACTTTTGAGTTCAATAATAACATAAAAAAAATTACTTTAAAATTATATTACATCAGCAGGTTAAAAATTAAATTAAATTATCTAATAATTTCCATAACATCAACCACCTTAAAGATAGAGAAAACCAATATTTGATGATTAATAATAATAACCTTAATAAAGTAGGACTGATAAAATTTTATAAAATATTTCTGCTTTAGGAACATTATTAGTTGGAGCATCATCTTTATAAGATCCAGTTGAAATGGAACTAAATTAATAAATGAAAGAATAAGAAAGATAAATTAGAGAATAATAATTAAAAGAAGAATAAAGTTTAAGTAATGGAAGTGAATTATAATAAGAACAAGAGGCTTAATAATAGAAATAGGAAATAAATAAAGAAGAAGAATAAGTAGTTAAATAAATTTAGAATGATTAAATATTAAAAGTAGAGAATTAAGTAGAATTATAAGATAAATAAATAGAAACATAAGATAAATAAATAGAATTAAAAGAAAATCAATAAGATTAATAATAATAAAAATCACCAGAATCATTAAGTAGTGCTGAATATTACAAATAATAATAATAATTAAAAGAATAATAATAATTTGAATAAAATAAACTGAGATCTAAAAATTACTAACCTCAAGGTTAATAGAATTAATAAATCATATATGAAGATGATGGTAGAAAATAAAATAATCAACCAGTTGATTTATATAGACTTATTATTAGTTTTGTAGCAACTCAATAATATGCTAACAAATTATTAAATTAATTGGCTGAAAAAGTATTATAATATTGGAAATAAGTATATTTCATTAAAATATTATTAGGTTATTGCAATAGAATCAAAACGAGCTTAATGGGCTAAAGATTCATGTTTGATATATAAAAAGGGAATTGCAGAAGTACATAATTTATAAGTAGAATTACCTGAATTATCAATTGATGTTGATTAACATTACAATCTTAGAAAAATATTACCAAAAGAAATTGCATAATTTGAAGATGGTCATTAGGAAGAATTCATATAAACTTTAGTTATAAAAGAGATTGGATGTTAAGCAGCAAGACTTTTATTAGTAAAAGAATTTAAAGTACATGTTATTGATAAAAATAATGAATTATCAGCTATTTTAGTATTAACTATTGATAAATATGTTGGCTGTTGGTTAAAACATGAAGATACAATAGAAGGTATTTTAATATTGAATTTAAGCTGTTGATAATCCAGTTCTTCATTATCCAATAAAAGGTATGGCAATTCAGAAAGTTAATGAACTAATATTAGATATAATGCCATCAAGACATTTATTATTTTTGAATGTAATCTTAATAATCTATTTTAGATTGCAAATGATAGATAGAAAAGCAAAATTAAATTTTAAACAGCAGATGATATGGAAGAATTTTGTACAATTTCATAAGCAAAAGCTTGATTATATTGATTGTAAGATAATGATATTTAATTGTTTCATATTATTCTTAAAAAACATCATTTAATTATATTTAAAGATATATTATTATTGACATAAATATGTTATAATATTGACATGTTCATTTTTATTCAGTTATATTTTTAAAGTAAACAAAATGAAAATCTAGGAAATATAAATATTTATTTATTTATAGAAAATAGTTTTTATAATAGTTTAATTTATATTCAATAATTTTTAATTATATAATGTAATAACCATAATATTTATTTAAAATAATTAATATTTTTTATAAAATTTGATAAAGGAAATTTTATAAAAATGAATGCAATGATTATAATTAGTTAATGATAAATAATATGATCTTAGCTTGCCAGGTCTGAGCATTAAGTATTTTTGTAATTTCAAAAGTATAGATTAATAATCATTTTGGTGATTGGTTTATTCATGTTTCTCCCTCTGCTGTTTAATCATTTTCACCTTCTACTTTGATTCTTCTTCCATTTTCCCATATACCAGCTTTTCTTTCTCCTGTTTCTGTTATAATAACTCCTTTTCCATTTTATTTTCCAAGAGCCCATTCTCCTTCATATCTTTTTCCATTATTCCAAGAAAATACACCTTAACCATGTTTTTTATCATCCAAATATTGTCCTTTATAACTTTTTCCATCTGGCCATATAGTCTCACCATATCCATTCATTTTATTATTTAACCAACCTCCAATATAGGTTTTACCATCATTCCAAACATATTTCCCATTTCCACTAATCTCATTATCCAAAAACTCTCCTTCATAAAGACTGTTATCAGCAAATTACAACTTTCCTCTTCCATTCTTTTTACCAAAAGTATACATTCCCTAATATGGAATAATTTGAATACTTCATATTTAGAACCATCTGGCCAAACTTCAGTTCCAAAACCATGCTATTAGTCATTAAGCCAATCACCTTCATAACGAGCACCACCTGCATGAGTGTAAGTTCCTTTTCCATTAGCCATATCATTAGCCCATTGTCCATCATAGATATCTCCATCACAATGTACTGAATAAATGTAATGGTTACTTAATTTGCCATAACCTTCTGCTTTATCATTCTTCCATTATCCTTCATAATGTCCTCCATCAGCCCAATACTATTAAATTACTGAGGTGAAAATAAATACATGTATTCCTTCACCATGTCGCATAAAATTGAACCATTCCCCCTCATAATAGCCTCCATTGATCATATTGATTCTTGGTAATTTTTTATGAATGCCTTTGGTACTCTGTACTAATTATTGGGCTTCATCATTAAGCGGTTTATTATCCTCTGCATAAGATAATGATTTCAACCATGACAAAATGATTTTTCTTCTGTCTACTTTTCCTTGTCTGCTATATGATGATCACTTGATCCTCTTTGAGTATGGAGTTCCTATTCAGGTTGCTTCTTTGGAATACAGTTGCAGCTCCCCATTATTTTAAATTAAAATAAATATTTTTGCCTCTTGATTTTAAGGAGAAACAAGAAAGAGATTAAGTATTTAAGATATAAATATTGATTGAATATTGTATGTATCAAAATGGATAAAATAAAAGTTATTTATTATAATATATGGACAAACAATTATTATTTGCAGAATGTATTCGTATCCTCCAAATAACACCATTGCGTAGAAGTCCTGAAGAATTGAATCTACTATTAAATTTTGCAAGGACTATCACATTTTTTAGAGAATTAGGAGAACAATCAGTTGAGATGCTTCAACGATGCATTTTTGTTCTTTCTTATAGGACAATAAAGGGCGGAGAGGTATGATTGTGGGTTCTCCACTCCCTCTAGGTACTCTTCAGAGTGGGCGATTCAGGAAGTTTGTTTTACGTGATCCTACGAGGTTCGGTAAGTGTCAACATCAGATTGCCAAATCCTGAAGATCCACAATAATTTGAATTGAAAGAAGTAAACACATTACGAGCAGGGATAGGTTTTGGAGAGTTGGCATTGATAAATGATTCTAAAAGAACAGCTACCATAATTGCTAAGGAAGATTGTGTATTTGCAGTAATGGAAAAACATCATTACAAATCAATATTAGGTGCTTAAGAGATGGCAAAGATATAGAATAAGATCTCCTTCTTATGTTCATTTCCTTTCTTCAATTCTTGGTCTTTCAGAGAGATCAAAACTATAAGCTACCATTTTGAACCTGTCTCTGTAACTTTGAATCAAGCAATAATTAAGTAGAATGAATATTGCAATCATTTTTATGTTGTTAGGGAAGGAGAGTTTTAAGTACAATTCATCCATAAAAATAAGTTATTTTGTATGTATTAATTCTCTAATGTTATTTTTATAGTTGCACTCTAGGTCCTGGTGAATCTTTTGGAGAGGAAGCATTTCTTAATAAAGATGGTCAATTCTTAATAAAGTCTTCAATATTTATTTAATGGGCTAAAACTAAGTACAACATAGTATGTAAAAGTGAAACAGGAATAGCATATAAAATAACTAGAGAAGATATATAAAAGTAAATCTATATATTTAGATAGAGACGATTCTGGGATAGCAAAACCTAGATTGTGTTTTTGTAATTATTATCTTCAATTCATCATTTCAGAACTCTAAAGGCAGAATAATTAATTAAGGAATATGAGGAGAAGAGATAAAAAGAAGAAGAAGAAATGAAATTCATTCATCCAGGAATTAAGAGGAGTTTTGTTTAGAAATATAATTTATTATCTTAAAGAAATACTAGCAGTGAGATAGAGAAGGATGAATAATATGATCAATTCAAATTATAAGAGAAATAAGCAATTGTATAATTCACTAAATTGATGAAAGATAGAAATTGTTCTTATGCTCAAGTAAGAACTTTTTTTGATCAACGCAAATTTAAATCTTAAAATTACTTTAATAAACGATTCTATCATAGATAATTCTTTAGATTTTCTAATAAAATTGATGAAAAAATAACACATGATCATGATCATAATAAAATTAAGACTGATCATGAAATAGATGGATTACTTACTTATTGTACAAATCAATAGAATTTAGGATGTAATAATAACAATTCTAATCACTATCCTCTTACCTAAGTATTAAGCAGTCCAACTACTGTAGATAAATTCATCAAAAGAATCAAAAATAAAGTATAGATACATATCAAAAATGAGGAAAATAATACGTTTTTTAACATTCGTACTCATAGTCCAACTTCACATAGAAGTATCAATAGTAGAAGATTGAAAACTTATGTTGATTGAATCATATAATTAATATATAATTGTTTACTTGATTCAAATTAATTATCATTTATAAAACAATTTCTAATTAAATTAGTTTTATTAATGATAAAATAATAAAATATATAGCAATTATTCCCTAACTTATAAGAATAATCTTACTAGACTCTACAATAAGTGTATGAAAACATTGCTCTATAAGAATTCCATGTCTTAGTCTAACAAATTAAAACCAAGTTTCCAATTCCAAATTAAATCAATCCTGTTCAATTTCCTACTCAAGAGAATGTAATTGAATTCTTTTAGAATTACAACCCAATCATTTTAGACTTAACTAACATTTAAGATGTTAAAATTAAACTCTATAAAAATGCTGCATTCTATGGAACCTTAGTTGATGGCTTGAGATAAGGACAAGGAATTTTAATTAAATCAACATTATAACTTTATGAAGGTTCCTTTCTTAGAGACAAGAAAGATGGTATCGGATTTGAATTACTTAAACAAAACTAATTTTATTATGGTACATATTTGAATGGGTTACCACATGGAGAAGGAGTCTTCTGGTCAAAAAACTAAAAATATATAGGTTAATGGCATTAAGGAAAAAAAGTATTTAAAAAACTCTATTTTCTAAGCATGGAATTGGATGGTATTAAGGAAGTCATTCAGATTATTATCTAGGATAATGGGAAAATGGAAGATGTTTTGGACTTTGCATATATATCAATGGAGACATGTATAACTGACTAATAATATTAGATATGTTGGTCATGTTACTAATGATCTAAAACATGGTAATGGTTAAGAATATTTTGAAAATGGTGATTATTTTATTGGAGAATATAGAAATGGAAAACCTAATGGTTAAGGTGAATTTTATTGGAATAATGGGAATTTCTATAAAGGAGAATTCGTTAATGGACAAAGGAATGGCTATGGAATTTGGGAAAGCAAAACATAAGAGGGAATAAATAAATTCAAAGGTCAATATGCCAACGATAAAAAATGTGGATAGGGAGTATTTGAATATGCAAATGGTACTATATATGAAGGTTCCTTTGTTGATGATAAAAGATGTGGATATGGAGAAATTACATGGTAGGATAAAGCAACTTATAAGGGTTATTGGGTAGATGGATTAATGGAAGGAGAAGGAATCTATGAATATGATACACTTGTATTAAAGGGTAATTGGAGAAGCAATTAATTATAAACTATTGATAAAGTTAGAGTCTCATTAAATTAATTTCCATAATAACATAACTTAAAAGAAATTTATGAAAATGAAGAAATTAGATCAGAATTAGCTGATGAACCAGACTTAGATGAAATTGGAAATTAATTTTAAGCTGAAATTCTAGCTTCTAAAACTGATACTAATCATATTCCTGTTCAAACTACTTCTCATCAAACTAGTCATAATGATATGTAATTTCATTAAAAAGTACCCATTTTATAAAGACAATTTGATTTACTCAGTCTTCTTGATTAAGGACTTCAACTTTAAACTTTAGATGTTTCATAAAAATAGAATAACTCAAGTGTAGCCATTCAAACTGAAAGTAAAAAACAGTTTCTTCCTAAATTGACTCTCAGTAAGAAAACCCCTACAAATAGTGTTGATCATTCTCATAATGCAAATAATAAATTTAAATTTGATTCAATATCTAATTCCCCAAATACTAGAGGAACTGATCAATCAAATAAATCACATAGAGGTTAGAATTAAAAAAAAGCAAATAAATCTGTTTAATGTAGAAGTAGAAAAAATAAAAAAGTTCTTCTATCTAGGATTGAACAGAACATATGGGCTATCAAAATGAATAAATTAAAATTAAGTCCTGCAAAGTATACTAAATTTTGGAATCATGGAGTATAAAATAAATTTCTATTTAGATTGTAAATGAAATTAAATAGATTCTCTATCCTCCTATTTGGAAACCTCCATCCCATTTAACATGAATTATTATTCTAATGCTTGACACTTTATTTATTATTTTATTGATATTTTATTATTTCTATTACAATAATTCTATTAAGGATATAAAAAAAACCTCATCAAAACTTTCAAAAGCAATAATAATGAATAATAGTGATTTAAGAAATAGCAGATAAAACTAAAACTTTTAAAATACTACATTCCTCTAATAATAATATCCACAATATAATTATAAGTCTCCAACACGTTTTGCAGTTAAACCTACCTAGACATTTTTAGGAAGAGAGTAAAATACCTATAAAAACTTGGGACAAACATAACCATAAGCAGCTGTATTGTAAAGGACCCCTTTAGAGTTTATAATTAATTAAAGTAATAACTAAAGAAATCTTATTCATTAATCGCCTAATCAAAGATAAAATTCAATTAAATAATAAAAATAATTTTTGTTAGTAAAAGAGAAATCTTGTAACAAAGTACCATTTAATATGGTTTCTGGAGGGGAAAAACCTCAATATAGTGGAAATAATCAATTAATTAGAAAATCCAATCTCCCAAATGATTAATATTAGAATAATAATTTAAATAAGGTATTTTCCTAAGAGAAACATTAATAGTAAAAACTATTAACTTTCTTATAACATTAACCTTTAAATAATAATGAAATAAAATAAAATCATGATTAGATGAAAAATCATTAATTATGTTAATAATCAACAGAATTATAAACTTCTCTAGACAAAAATTAAAAAACATAAAATTTCAATTCAACTTATTAAGAAGGAAATAGGCAATAATAATACATTAGAGACATTATAAATAATTAATAAGGTTCAAAACAATCATACTCAAATAAATAAGACCAGAATACAAAACAAGATTAGATGAATACAAGAAATTCGAGCACAAATTAGAAGATTATAAAAGCAAAATTCCAAATATAACAAATACAAAACAATGATGCTAAGGATCTACAAGGCGTTAATTAAGAGATTCCAAAAACCAAAAACTTAGGAAAGACTTAAATTACATATATCTAAAGAAATCACTACGAAACCAAACAAGAATGGTAACAAACTAATAATAATGATCTAAAAAATGATTATAATTAGAGGACATAAACCAATAAAATAGAAAAATCTTAAAACTTAAAAGAGGCATCAAAACAAAATTAAATTTAATAAGAATAGTAACAAACTAATAATTAAGATATAAAAAATGATTATAATTAGATAATATAAACCAATAATATAGAAAAATCTTAAAACTTAAAAGAGGCATCAAAACAAAATTAAATTAAATAAGAATAGTAACAAACTAATAATTAAGATATAAAAAATGATTATAATTAGATAACATAAACCAATAAAATAGAAAAATCTTAAAACTTAAAAGAGGAATCAAAACAAAATTATTTTAAATAAGAATAGTAACAAACTAATAATTAAGATATAAAAAATGATTATAATTAGATAACATAAACCAATAATATAGAAAAATCTTAAAACTTAAAAGAGGCATCAAAACAAAATTAAATTTAATAAGAATAGGAACAAACTAATAATTAAGATATAAAAAATGATTATAATTAGATTACATAAACCAATAAAATAGAAAAAATTGAAGACTTAAAGGTGGATTCAAAACAAAATTAAATTTAATAAGAATAGTAACAAACTAATAATTAAGATATAAAAAATGATTATAATTAGATAACATAAACCAATAAAATAGAAAAATCTTAAAACTTAAAAGAGGAATCAAAACAAAATTATTTTAAATAAGAATAGTAACAAACTAATAATTAAGATATAAAAAATGATTATAATTAGATAATATAAACCAATAAAATAGAAAGTATTAATAATCACATTGAAAAACTCAATAAATAACCAAATCAGGTTACATCCAAAAACACAAAACCTCCAATAGCATTACTACTAGGCACTCCTGGAGTCGGTAAGACCTTTTTAATGAAAACTATATTTAATAGAAAAATTATTAATGAATATCAATTATACAAATTACAACTAGACGATACTCTGAGTTATAATTTTGTTGATACTTAAGGATTTAATTTTGAAGAAGATATTGATGTCAGAGAAGCACAAATTAGCAAGTATTAAAAACTATTTAATGATAATAAAGATTAAGTATACTCTATTTTTATTGTTGTCAATTTTGAAAGAACTGATCTGATGAAAAAAAATATTCTATCAATATATAAGTTCTTCAGAAAATTTTCATCATTAATTAGTATCATTGTGACTGAATTCTAATTAAGTGATGATAAAGATCAAGATGAAGCTGATTTGACAGCAAAATTAAAAATTTTTAAGCCTAGAGATATAATTTTTGTAGAAAGAGGAATTAGAAAAGAAGATTTAATTAAAAAAATGAAAGAGAAGTCTTTAAATTAGATTGAATCTGATTTTAAATTTGATATAACGGATACTATTTTTGAGAAAGCAGATTAAGAGGAGGTTAAATAAATATTTGATTAACTTAAACAAAGATTAAATTGATGAATTTTTTTTTGTTTATATAATAAATTATGTAATTATGCTAATTAGAAAAAACTCATAAAATCTCTAACAGCAAGTCTTTTTGTTATCACAAATAGACTAAGGATACCTACATTTTAACTATACAGCCTCCCAGCGAATTTAACCGTTTACTTTATCATTTGAATCATCCAAACTTATTACTAGTGGAAGAGTTTTGGGAGGAGAGAGGACAAATTTGTTCTGTATAAAAATGTGAAACAATCAATGATTTGTAAGAAGTAAGTAACATTGTTAAATTAGATTATGTAAAACAATAAGTTCTCTGAAAATACAATATTGACAATATTGTACTAGATAATATCTGCTATGTTTTATTTGGAATAACAATAAATACCTATAACAGTATCATTGAATAATGTATTTCTGGATGAATAATTATAGGTGAAAGTATAATAATAATGTTTATTGTTAGATAGATGTATTAAATATCACGAATGCATAACTTTCATTTGCATCCCCTGAAGTATTAAGGAAAGAGGTTGAGTCATCTGGAATTTGGAGTGCAGGATGTGTAGCGTATTACTTAATGAAATCTGAATTACCTTTTTCAGGAGTGAATGAGAGATCTATAGCTTATAATATTATATATAGAGAACCACCACCAAGTGATTTTTAAGAGTTCCCATTGGTTAGTGCCTTGTTGAAAGTCATTTTTATAAAGAATTGGAAGAGACGTGCCACTATAAAATAGGTTTTATAATTTTTAGCTTCCAAATCTGCAACAGTTTAGGAACCTGTTAAATTATTAAGATCTCCTTAATCATCAGTTGGCAAGAATAAATCTAGTATGATGTTAAGTAAAATTGACAAAGTTGAATACTCAGAAAAATAAACTGACAGCATAAAAATGGATGATAAATAATCTCCATTAGCTAAGGTTCTTACATTATAAGAATTTGAAGAACAATTGTCTCGCATGAAGGAAAGACCTCAATCTTCAATGATTGATGAATCTAATGAGATTATTAACAAAATAAAAAGAATGAGACCTAATTCTGCAATAACTTTAACTGGAAAAGAGTTTGTCAGAAAGAATATCAAAGAAGAAATAAATTAAAGAAGATAGGTTCAAAGTTCAAAGCCATTTCTTGTAAAAAAGAATACGTAATAACACTTTGAAAAACATCATAAAGAGATTTCTATAGATTTAGATAATGTAGATAAATTAAAACATAGTGATACTATAAGGGTTTATAATTTGGAATATCAGGACAATATCATTCATCCAACAAAGAATAATAAAGTATATATGAAAATTTTGAAACCTAAAATGGTTGCTGCTGCAGATTACCCTGAAGGATAGATTTAGGGAATGTAAAAGTGGAGAAATAAAATGAACTCAATGCTAATTTGATTTTAATTATTTAATAAAATTTTATAATTTGGTAAAGATAATAATTTTATCATTCAAAGTATTGAAAAAAAATAAAAATTTAAAGAATAATTCTGGTATTATATTCTATTGGAACCTTTGTTAGTAAATGAAAGAAGATTATTCTAATTAATGTATAATAATAATCTCTATTTATTGTCTATTAGCTGCAATAAAAGTTTAATATTAATAACAATAATTTAAGAATTTATACATATAATCTGTTTTCAAAAGAAATTAATTGATAGATTGAGTCTTAAAATTGGTTGAAATTAATAGACATTTAATATAAATGTTCTAATTATTCATAATTTCTAGAAACAATTTGATAAATTTTGTAATTTGGAATAACCTTAATAATGAAAATTTATTAAATCAAATAAAGTTTTCTAGACTTTCAGGGATATCATTTAATCTTATTCCTTATTCTTTTAAAAGTCCACTCATTTCTATTTCAACTTTATTTAGAAGATTATGTATTTCTTAATCTCCTTACATATTCTTGAGACTAGCAATTTGATCTTCTTCTTCTACACCAAATTTAGCATAAATTAAATCTTATACTATAATGTTAATGATTGTTGGAACCAGCATAACATTTTCAGATGGCTAATGGAAATAAGTAATTCAATAATACAATTCTATGCAAAATAACATGAAATTCTTAAGGAAAGTTTTTGAGAATATGTACATTAAATTGTATAATGTCCTTCATTTATTTTAAATTCAATTTCTTGGTTGATTCAATTTTCTCTTTTATCTTTTATTTTACACTTGCCTATAACATATACAATTATTAAAAATATCCCTGATCCATTCTCACCAGTACACTTTCTTCAAATATTTCTTTAGGGACATCTAATTAATATAGAAGTCTTTTTAATGCTTAATCTAAGACATCTTCAACATCTATTATGAATTAGACAATGCTATCAACATAGATTTACTGATTTGACTTTCTTAACCTTCTTCTCTAAACACGATTCTGCTTGCTTAATTTAACAAAATCTTCTCCTGCAATTTCTAATTATTTTGCATATATATCAACAATGCAACTAGCTTCTAGACAATGATCTTCACCATATTTAATTTCAATATCATTGCTCATATCTTATTTTTAATCTATGGATCTATCATTGGTGTCCAAATATTAATCTAAATCATGCTTAGATAATAATTTCTCTAAACTAAGTTTCTATTTAGAGTCTTTTTATATATAGTATGCTCTTCAATATATTTAATAAACACTTACCCAAAACCAACTATTCCAATAGAAGCTAAAACAACTGCTTTATTTTTAGATATCGTCGATCCCATAATTAATTCTTATTATTATTATATATAAAAATAGTTTTATTGAATTGTGATGAACTATCTTATTAATTAAATTCATTCAATTTAGTATGATCTAAATAGTATAGAAATTAGTTCTGCTTTACAAGTAGTATTTAAATTAATAATATTTGGAAAATTATCATATATATATATATATTCATTTGTCTGATTTTCTTGATATTCCAGCGAATGGGTTAGTTTAATTGTATCCATCTTTATAACCTTATTCATATGCTCCTTTATTGCCACTTAGGTCACACACTAAAGCATCAAATCCTTAACCTACAGCTTCCGCAGTTGATGGATCATAATTTCCGGATGCTGCATCATATCCTTATCCATAACAATATCCTTAATCATTTCCTGAATTACTGTCTTTCTACATTAGGTAAAATAATAATATTAAATGTTAAATTGTGTAATTGACTTAAAAATGAAAATATATTCTATTTTAAAGACTATTTTGTCAGAAATTATAAATTTAAATATATATATGGATTTTATTAGCAACCTTTAAGTATATTAATTGTAAAAAATATATAGAATATTAAAATTTAAATAAATACAATGTTAATAAATGAATATTAAATATTACTTAATTTTTTTATTATAAAATGAAGGCATGATAATTTATGAAAAAAATATTTTATTTTCAATGTTCTGTTCTTGCTCTGACATAATAATCACCTTAAAAACGGACCTTCATTTTTTCTTTGTTTGCTTAGAAGATTATAATGAATAAATACAATTTTTACGAAAACTACTCACTAATTTTTTTTATTAGTCTTATTCCAATGATTCTTTAATTTATAATTAATAAATACTATTTAATTAATCTTGTTTTTGAAGCTCATTCTGAACGTATTTCATCTTAGTATCAAATTCTTCATTGACTTACTGCTTCTTGAGTTGGTATTCTCGTAATAGGTCGGCACTCAATACCCTGAAAAAGCTAATCTAATTTTTTCTTTTTTTCATTCTCCAATTAATGAAGTTGATCTTGGAGTTGTAACTTATCTTTTTCAATTTATTTTGATTTGTATATATTCCAATCCTAATGCAATTATGTGTCTTTTCTCATTGAAATTTTATTTGAAAAAAGTGCAGATTTGTAGCCTTCTTCTTAATTCATTTATGGAGTAGTTTCAAAGCTACGATTTCCATAGATTTTGCTAATAATGTTCTATTTCTATTTAGTGAGATCTAATTGTAATTATTGAATCTAATTTCTTAGTGACTCAATGTTATTAAGAGGCTTTTTATAAGTATTCATAATTTTAATGATTAATACATAAGTTTAATTGAAGAGGGAATAGTTTGTTATTCAGATTCGAAAGTAAGCTAGAGAAGAAATCTTTTCAAAAAAGAGACTCACAGTTTTGAATGGCAATATAGATGTAGATTTGAAGTGCTCTCCTGATGAAATGATTCTCTAAATTTATAATAGTTTTATGCTCAAAGATTTTAAGACACTAAAGGATTTATTATTTAGATATAATGAGTAATTCCTAATAATCATCCTAAGAAAGTAATAGGGTGATGATGTTTTTATGAATTAATATGTTAATCATTTTGGTTTAAATTAAGAAACCCTCCAATTATTCATGCAAATATTGTGTATGTCTGATGTTTCTTAGGAAAGTAATATTGATGAGATTAGAATGCATAATATAAATCAAGTTCTTATAATATTGGTGAACATTACATATCTGACTGCTCCATAAATCATTAATAATTTATTGAATCATGATATATTAGATATACTTTTGAATGATATATTGGGTCGTATGAATACAAAACAAAAGTTAGAAAAGAATTTTGAAGTTTGGTAATCGATAATTGATAGTGTAATATTATTACTTACTTGCAGCTCTGTTAACTATTTATAAATATGTTACTGGATTTATAAGATTAAAGAGGAGTGTAAATGAAAATGGAAATAATGAAATCACCATTCTTTAAAATATGGCAATATATTTATAAAGAGTATCCACCATAACATCTTTGGAATTCAATGTTATATTTATAATAAATTCTTTTTATGAATCCAAAAATTTAAGATATAGAAATAGTATCATCAAATGTATATCCTATAATATTATATCAATATAGATGTAGAGAATACTTAAATAATGTAGTTATGTAATAATTGAATTTTCAGATTAAGATTAATTGTATGAGAGAGCATTAATATTAATTTATTAATGTACTTAATATTAGTTAGAGACTACAATTGTGTTAACAAAATAACTTTGGGTGAAAATGATACTAATCAATAAATTTCCCTTATTGATGTATGATCTATTCATCAAATTTACATCTGTGAATTATAATTAGGATACTCCAGCTTCTGAGTTGAATACAGAAAAACATTTGATCGATATTAATGTATTAAATAACATGTTGTTTTGGTTATCAAAATCATAAGATGAAGATTTAATTATTAAGATATATCAATGTTTGAATAATATTCTGACATTCGAATATCCACATCTTGCTAGTGTAGTCATTTATCATTTTTTGCCCATTTGCTAACAATATTTAGAAGTTTAATCTTATTGTAAAGCAGAATTTGCTGATGAATATTTGATATTAATTAAAAACCTCATTAAATTTTAGAAATTAAATGAAATTAATCTAAATTAAATAATGAAAGAATACAATGTTATGAAGTAAATTAAAAAAATGTAAATTATTATTTATTTATTGTTAGATTATTATAGTGTTGCTTTGAATCTTGCAATCTTTTGGACTTATTTGATGCATTTGATCTCTTATCTATTGAATTTAAATACGAAGTCTTAAAAAGGATTGTCAATTATTAAATAATTGAGATTCTCAATAATTTACATTCTAAAAAATATATTAATGAAAATTGTATTGATATTTTATTGGAACAAATAGCTAAATGGGAATAAGAAACTCATGAGTTAAATTATTCTTGAATATATATAATTTATTAATTTAATGCTTAATTAATCATTCAAAATTGTATATCTTCATACTATGATGAGTAATTTAAAAGTCTAGATTATAATAAACATTCATTTTATATAAATATTCATTTATAATTTAATGAAAAAAGGAAAGAACTCAAAATAAATAAAAGAAGATAAAATTAATTACAAAAAGTCACAATCCATTATAATGTTAAACTTATATATTTATTTAGAAATAGTTATAATAATTATTAATTACTTTAATTAATTAAATTAAAGATAATTAATATAAAATGAATAAGTAATTTATCATCTCAAATTTAATAAGAAATAATACATTTACTAATTTGAATCAATTTAAAATGAAATTGATATTTCAGTCTCATAGAATCTCATTCATTATTCAAATATTTTTAGGAATGAAGATTTCTATAAATATAACAATATAAAATGAATGTAAAATATAAAATTATAAAAAGAAATGAAATTTCAATAATCATTTTAAATAAATTATTAAAAAAAGAATCATAATATATAAAGATAAATAAAAATAAAGAAATATTTTATTAATATTATATATATATATGAGTATAAAGAATCATAACATTTTTATTGAAGATTATTTTGTAAATCTTCTCTTTGCCACTTATGGATCTGCAACATTGATGTTATTATTGTTTATAATATTTGCTATCATTTAATAAAATCTTTAAACTCGATTTTTTACAAATAATTGCAAAGGTCGTAATTTTCTTTGTTTAGCTATATTTTATAATTTCTTCTATTGATCATAATCTATTAAGGGTGAGAACAATTAAGATAATTAATTATTCAAAGATTTTAATGATTCAATTTCACTCTAATCCCAATCCTTATTAAATGTATTTTATTATCTCATATGTAAATCAATAACTGTATTATATATATGAATTAATTTAGTTACTGTAGAGAATAGAGAATACTAATTGTATTAATCTTAAAAATAATTCTTAATTAGTTTATGTAATTCTTCTAATTCAATAATTACTGAATGTAATCCAAATTATAGACAACATTTTTATACTAAATGATGTGGTAATTATTTATAATGTTAATAGAAATCTAGAAATGGTAAATTACTTTCTTTGTATGAAATTTCATTTAATTCAACAATTGGTGTCTTAATTAAACTTTTAAGTAACATTTATTTAACAAAAAAGCAAGATTCTGAAGCAGCAGTAAAAAATGATTCAGCAGTCACAACTCCATCTCCACACATAAATGATTCTCTAAAGAGTGAACATATTTCTTAATCTGGTACATCTGGAAAATTGCTTTAAAATATTTTCTTGAAATTCTTATAAGTAACACCACTCTTACCTGAACTTTAAACAGAAATACAAGCACTAAATACTTCTTTAAGCATAGCTAATCTATTTCTCCTTTCTGTTCTATATAACTCAAGAAGAATTCTCAAAACATAATGTCCATCTACAATTGTTCCTTTACCTTTAGTAACACTACTCTCAATAATTATTTAATTGATTTAATTGTACATAGATTAATCATATTTCCATAAAAGCATTTCTAATATTTATTAAACCCAATTCAATTAAACATAAATAACTGCTTCAAAACTATATCTTTATTAATTTGATAGACTTCCTTTAAATATTAAGAAACGGGAATATAAATAATAATAAAGTTCATCTGGAGAACTTAATTCAAATAATAATTCACTAATAATTAATATATAAATTACTTAAAAATAATTACTTCATGTAATTTAGCTAATTTAGGACTTAAACAATCCAAAATAAAATCATTTCTTATTGGTTCGAGATGTTCAAAACTTCTATCTTTAATTATTTCTATTTATCGAGTTTTAGGATTTATAATAAAATTGCTTATCCATCCATAAACAAAATCTGCAAACTTTATAGGAGTATATTAATTATCTCTATATAAAAATTCATTGTATTATGAATCTAAAATAGACCTAATTGTAGCAAAATATAATATGCTAATTTAATGAAATTCAATATTCCTATAATCTTATTCTAAATTCTTCATATTTGATTCATAAAATAAGAGAAAACTAGGACGAGGATATTAAAACTTACTTAGAGAATCATAATAAATATAATCATAACGAACATGTTTAAGAAACATAATTGTTGTTTATTCTTGATCACTCAATTTTGTAATATTAAGTTAAGTAAGTTCTTTCATTATTTTAAAGTATTATTTATCCTAAGAAAAATTATAAGCAAGTCTCATTAATTTCTATTCCTACTCAGGATCTACTTTTTGAACTTCAGGTCTTTTACTCTTTTCAATTTTCATTTTGTCAATTTCATCTTAAAGCATAAGTAATTTCTTTCTAGAATTGGCTTCCTCTCTTAAATAATGTCTATATCTAATATAATGAGCTGTCAGATCTTCTTCTTGCATTTTGCATAATTCATTCAAATGTCTATTCTCATTAACCATTTTGTCATATGTATTTTCAATATGGCTGTATTTCTTTTTATCACTTTCTAAATAATTCTCAAGTATTTGAATTTAACTATCCTACTTCTATATTACAGATTTCAATTAAATTATTAATTGACTGTTTTTTGACACTTACTTCTCTTTTGTGTCATTCAATATTATTAATCGATTAATCTATTCATCTTTAACCTAAGTAATCCTTTATATCTCATCTCTTAATTTTACAACATCTTAACTCTCTTCTAGTTCTTTTAATCTTAAAATAAATTGAAAATATTTTACTTATTTGATAACTATTTAATTTCTATTGCTAATTTGTTATTCTATACAAGTAATGAATTTACTTTTAATTTATCTATCTCTTTAACTTCTCTCAAAGTCTTAGACTCTCTATTATCATCTCGATAATCATTTTTCAATAATTGTAACATCAATCGTTATAAGGCTTAATAGCTCTTTATTTATATTTTATCATTTAATCATACTTAAACTAATAAAGGTGCTGCATCCATTTATTTAAGTGCACTTAAAATTGTTGATGCTACTTATTTAAATTATTCTTTAAAATGAGATGGCATTTCATTTTACAATTGAGAATTCAAAGTTATCACATCCAAACTTAAGCGTTCTTATGCTTACTTATCCATACTAATTGATTTCTAATGAAAATTAGACTTTGATAAAATGAACTTATTTAATTTATCTGTAGACTCTATTCTTATTTATCTCATTAAGATTATATTAATTATTTGATAACTTTTACTAAATAAATTAATTGTACAGAACTTCTTTTTATGATTCAACCCAAAATGAATCATTCCATAATTTATTTTAAAAAAATCTCTTGAAAAATTATAAATCCTTCACAAATCAAATCATTTTTATATAATTTTAAATGTCTTCAAGTGATATTGAATTTTTAGAGAAATATCATCTTCAATCCAAAGATTAAGCTCTTACTACTTTAGTAAAAGGATCACAAGAGTATATCTATTATACTCTCCTCAAAGCCCTAAATGAATAAAACTCAAAACTAAATGAAGATTAGTAAACACTATTGATGAATCTGAAAAAAAATTCTGATAATTTTAAGAATATTTAGTTAAGATCTCTCATGTTAGAATTTGAAAGTCTATGTCAAGAAGAAGATACTAAGGAAAATTAAATCAAAAAACAAAAAATAATGTAAATCATCAATGATTAATTCCTTCATATCCAATTCAATAATTAAGGTGATAAGAGACATGAATTTCAACATGATGATAATACTAAGTAAGATAACTCATTGGGGATTCGTTAATACAAAACTAAATTAGATCCACAAAATGTCACTTTAAAAACATATTTACAAAAGGCTTATTAAAATGAAAACCTTAATAAATTTTCTGTCTATGCATTACGGTAATTAGATTTCGAAAGAATGTTAAAATGTAATGATAAATGGATTTATGAATACTTAAACATTCTAGCTAATTCTAAAGCATTAGAAGGGTATTTAAGTATGTTATTATAGTTTGGATTTTGTTATACCATTATTTTAGAGACTAATCAAAGGATAATTTCAATTAGGATCAATTTTTACTGCCATGAGTTTATAATAAATGGAAGAACTTTAAAAAGTTTATGAGGATTTGAATAATAATTTAGATTACATAAAAAAATATTATTCTAAGAGATTCGATTCCATGGATCTCAATGATAATGATACTTTGAAATAGAAAGAACATTTATTATAAGTTTAAGATTGGTAGAAGACATTACCTAAATAGTTATAATTTGAATCCTTAATTACCATCAATTTATTAAGTCTAAGTATAATTTATAATTTACTTTAGATATTAAATAAAGTAATTATGATATAAATCTTTTTATTTCATATCTTTAAATGCCATTATAATAATATCCTGGAATCAATCCAAATATAAGAGATAGCATTGGTAAAATTAAATTTTAATTTAATCCTATTTCGATACCAGGATAACATGATCAAATTATTTATTAACATCTTGAATATATGATTAAAAATGATATGGATTTAGAATAAATTTAGAGTTATTTTGAAGAACATTATTTGAATAAAACAAAAGCTTTATTGTATTTGTAATTAGGCAGAGAAGTATCAAATATCAATTAAATTCTAACTCAATCTGAAGTCATTAAATTATAGAATGAAAAATATATAGAATTTCATGAATAGACTAAACTAAAACGATTCTAACATGGAGAATCAGTTAAATTAAATATTTTCTTAAAGAACATACCTTAAGTATCAGTGAAAGTATTCTAAATTGACACACTTAATTATTATTTACAAGACAGTTCATAGAATTTCCTAAATCTTAATCTAAAAGGTTTGATTCCTAAAAATGAGATGATTTTTGATTACTCTAAAGATTTTAAACCTACATTAAAAATAGAAAAGGAAATAGAATTTCCAGAAATAACTCAATAAGAAAGAGGTATATTCATTATAGATATCTATGGAAATGGAATTTTCTCAAGAGCATTAATTTAAAAAGGAAATATTTAATTAAGATAAAAAAAAAAGGTGTCATCAGGTCATTGCTTTGAAATTTTGAATGAAAATTTAGAAATTTGTTGTTCAGATACTACAGGGCTTTGGTTAGATAAATAATTTTATAAGATTGATTAAGAGAGAAAAGAAATTTTAATTCCATTTGGGAGTACTACTTAAGAACATAAGGTAATAATTATTCATGAAGGATTTGCAAATTTATAAAGAATATAAATTGAATAAGAATCGTATAAGTTAAAATGTGGAGGAATAATTTCTGAAGAATCCATGATTATAGGAAATTAAGCTAAAGTATTACTATTCCCAAAATTATTTGGTAATTAAAATCCAATTAATTTAAAATTATTAAAAAATACTTCAATTTTAGTAACAATTTATAATGAAGAAATGAATCCAACTGTTTATACATTTGATAATATAAAATTTGAAGATAAGAAACCATATGAAATGGATATTCCTATTAGTAAATTTAAATAAATCAGCATTTCTATTACTGCTAAAATCTAAAGTATGTTAAGTAAAACATTAATTGATTTAATGGATTGTTTTTCTATAGTACTTAAAGAATAATTTGACACAGAATATTTTAATAATCAATTTCTATAACATACTGAAAATGAAGGATATTCAATATATGTATTAGGGAAAGGTGGAGAACCTAAAAAAAATGTAAAACTAGAATTAAAATTTTAAATTCAGCATTATTAATCTATTACAGAAATTTTATAGACAGATGATAATGGAAGGATACATTTAGGATAACTAAAAAATGTAATAGCAATTGATTCTAAACCACTTGAATCTTAATCAATTAATAAAAATTCAAGGAATTGGATCATATCGAATTTAGACATCTTAGATTTACCAAATCAAATTAATAAATTAGCAGGATAAACTATTACTATACCTATTTGTATTGAAAAGGACAATATACTGTTATATAAAATTCATAAGAATTAAGTTATAGATTATTTCTCTTAAGTTTGTGTTTTAGAATAGAATTAATTAAGCTTTACATTAAATGAGCCTGGTAATTATGAATTATAATTGATGGTTGATAACAAACTTAAAATAATATAAATAGAAATTTTTAAAGGAAAATAAAAAAATGATAGTGATGCATTCATAAGCAATGAGAAACTATTATTAGACCAATAATTGAACTATTTAATTTCAATTCAAGATGTTAAATAAATTAAAGAAGAGTAAAGTACAAAGATAATTGGATCAATTCATTCAAATCGTCCAGTAATTCTATTTGCATTAGTTGAAACATTCTATAAAGATTCTGATGTAATAATTAAACAAATGAAAAGTATACTTTAATCTAAAAAGAAAGAGGAATTTTAAATCTATAACAAATAAATTGAAATCTTAACAAACACATAAATTTCAGATGAAGAACGATATGTAGAAATTAGAAAATAATAGGAAACATTTATTGGTAATACTTTAGATAAACCTCAACTATTACTTAATAGATAATGTATAAGAGAGTGTGTAAATGAAAAAGAATAGCTTAAAGATGAAAAAGGTTCCTCAAACTACACCGGATTATTTTCACCCCATGAGCAAAAAAAAGGATTACTTCATAATGCTGGAAATGTTTCTAATATGATTTCTATTTTCTGTAAATTGGATTTTTTAAAATATCCTGGAAAATTAATTACTCTAGAATTAAATGAAAGCAAAGAAGATGAAGAATATCAAGAATTCTCTTTTGAAATTCCTAATTGCTATTCTTAAATTACACTTTTTGCTATTAATGATTATAATTATGCTCTTAAATAAGTTTCCTTATCTTTTGGTGGAATCAGCACAAGAAGTCTTGAACATTAAACTAATCTAAAAAAAGATAAATGTTATAATATTTCAAGGAATTCTTAAGCATTGAAAAAGGGGGAAAGTATTTACATTAATGATGTAACAGCTACATAAATAAAGATTATTGATTCTTTAGAAAAAGTTTATAGAGAACTAATATCATTAAACAACAATGGAAAAAATTTAAGGGAAAAAGATTTATAAAATTGGGAATTTATTATAAAATGGAATTTAAAGACACTAGAACAAAAACATCAACTTTATGATGAATATTAAAGTGATGAGTTAAATTTATTTTTATTCTTTAAAGATCCACCTTATTTTGAAGTTTATGTTCAAAATTATATTAGAAATAAAATTGAAAAAAATCTGATTGATCATTTTTTATGCTAAAATGATACTGAATTAGAAAGATATCTTTAAATATCCACTTTTAACACTTTAAATACAATTGAATAAATTTTATTACTACTTTATTTTTAAGAAATTAAACTCAATAAAACTCACTCCTAAAATATTTATTCTTATTTGCAACAAAAATATTAAATTCTACATTTCGATTAAAATTTAGCTTAACGTTTATTTGACACAATTTTAACTTCTCAGGAAGCTAAGGAAATGAAAAAAAATAATACAAATAACTCAAACAATTAATTTCAACCTTCAAGTAGAGGAGGGAACTTTGGAGCTTCACAACAACATCCACCGCCTCCTCCACCTCCCCCAGGCTTTTGCGGATTGATGGCACCACCTCCGCCTGGAGGTTGTCCACCTCCTCCTCCTCCTTCACTAGGAGGATGTCCTCCTCCTCCTCCACCTTAAAGTGTTTTCTCTACTTCTACTACAACTACAAAATAGGTTCCAGGCTCTTTATTTNTTAGAAAATAATAGGAAACATTTATTGGTAATACTTTAGATAAACCTCAACTATTACTTAATAGATAATGTATAAGAGAGTGTGTAAATGAAAAAGAATAGCTTAAAGATGAAAAAGGTTCCTCAAACTACACCGGATTATTTTCACCCCATGAGCAAAAAAAAGGATTACTTCATAATGCTGGAAATGTTTCTAATATGATTTCTATTTTCTGTAAATTGGATTTTTTAAAATATCCTGGAAAATTAATTACTCTAGAATTAAATGAAAGCAAAGAAGATGAAGAATATCAAGAATTCTCTTTTGAAATTCCTAATTGCTATTCTTAAATTACACTTTTTGCTATTAATGATTATAATTATGCTCTTAAATAAGTTTCCTTATCTTTTGGTGGAATCAGCACAAGAAGTCTTGAACATTAAACTAATCTAAAAAAAGATAAATGTTATAATATTTCAAGGAATTCTTAAGCATTGAAAAAGGGGGAAAGTATTTACATTAATGATGTAACAGCTACATAAATAAAGATTATTGATTCTTTAGAAAAAGTTTATAGAGAACTAATATCATTAAACAACAATGGAAAAAATTTAAGGGAAAAAGATTTATAAAATTGGGAATTTATTATAAAATGGAATTTAAAGACACTAGAACAAAAACATCAACTTTATGATGAATATTAAAGTGATGAGTTAAATTTATTTTTATTCTTTAAAGATCCACCTTATTTTGAAGTTTATGTTCAAAATTATATTAGAAATAAAATTGAAAAAAATCTGATTGATCATTTTTTATGCTAAAATGATACTGAATTAGAAAGATATCTTTAAATATCCACTTTTAACACTTTAAATACAATTGAATAAATTTTATTACTACTTTATTTTTAAGAAATTAAACTCAATAAAACTCACTCCTAAAATATTTATTCTTATTTGCAACAAAAATATTAAATTCTACATTTCGATTAAAATTTAGCTTAACGTTTATTTGACACAATTTTAACTTCTCAGGAAGCTAAGGAAATGAAAAAAAATAATACAAATAACTCAAACAATTAATTTCAACCTTCAAGTAGAGGAGGGAACTTTGGAGCTTCACAACAACATCCACCGCCTCCTCCACCTCCCCCAGGCTTTTGCGGATTGATGGCACCACCTCCGCCTGGAGGTTGTCCACCTCCTCCTCCTCCTTCACTAGGAGGATGTCCTCCTCCTCCTCCACCTTAAAGTGTTTTCTCTACTTCTACTACAACTACAAAATAGGTTCCAGGCTCTTTATTTGGTGCTTCTACAAATAATGCTCAAAATGGAATTGACTAACTAAAATAATAATTGTGTTAGAGAAAAAAGATGATGTGTTTTGTACAAAAAAATAAATCCAGTGATGATTCTAGTGATGATGAACACTATAATATATAGAGAAATTAATACATTTAAAATTATAAAAATGTTGAAAAAACCAAAGAATATGGGGAAAGGCATTCCTTTTATTATGAAGATTAAAATATTCCAGTAAAGCTCAATAAATTCTTTATAGAATTAGCCAAGTATTCAATGAATTAAGGAATTTTAAGTGCATCTTCCTTTATAACATCTGAAATTATTCATTACACTACATTTTCAGAATTCGTTTTTATACTTTCTATTTTAGATCTGCCTTTCTAAAATATTAAATAAAACTATTATTAATTTTAAGAGAAGGGTATGTAAATTGTTACAGAATCTAATGTAATTTATTATAGTTAAGAAATTAAAGAAGTAGATGTTTAATTAAGAAATGATATTCTTATAACATAATTATTCTTTGATGAACAAAATAAAAAATAAGAATTTTTATCATCTTAAGAATATTTAACTAATCACATTTATGGATCATTAATTATAGTTTCTAATTTCTCTAATGAGAATATAAATGGTTAAATATTTGTTGAAATACCAAATGGAGCAATTCCTATCAAATCTCCATTTTACTCTAAATCAATTAATATCTCTTGTGATTCATTGTCCACTACAAGATATTCATATTATTGGTATTTCCCCAAAGAAGGTATGTTTACTATTCATCCTGCTTGCTTGACTATTTTAGATAAAGTAGTTGCTGTATCTAAATCTCAAGAATTTAATGTTGTTAATGTTAAGGCTAATCCTAATTTAGAAGTAATAGAAGATATATTAGGGACTGGAAATAAGGCCAATATATTAAAATTCTTGGAAACCAAAAATATATTTGATGAAAAAGTTTTTAAATCATCTTAAATAGTTCATCTATATGAAGATAAAGATTTTTATTAGTAAGTTCTTAAAATTTATAAAGCTAAGAAATTTTAGGACTCATAAATTCTTAATTATGCAGTTTATCATGCAGATTTTGAAGGCTTGAAAGAATTCTTTCAATAGCAATATATTTTAGATAAGTTTAATTCCATTAAATATTTCAAATGCTCTCTTTTTGAAATTAATAATATTAAAATGTTAGAGTATTACCCATTAATTACAAAGCGAATTCATAAACTCAAATAAGATGAATAAGGAATTCTTAATGTAGAACTTAGGAAACAATATAAAAATTATCTATAATATCTAATTGAGAAGCCATTTCATACCATTTAAGATAAGATAGGATTCTCATATTATCTCTTATTATAAGAAAGAATAACAGAAGCAATAAAAGTATTTAGCTCTATTTAAGAACCTATTGATGCTGGAAATTGTGAATTACAAAATGATTATTTCTAAGCTTATTTTGATTTTTATGTTGGTTACCCTAATTTTCATGAGGCTAGGAGAATATGTGAAAAATATTTGAATTATCCAGTTATTTATTGGAGAAATCTGTTTTATGATATTGCCAATTTATTAGCAGAATTCGATGGTGATGATGATTAGAAAGAAGTTGGATAAAATAAAAATTAATATTAATCATAAAAGTAATTAGCCTTAAAAGAGGAGACTTTATCATGCGAAATAGATGGAACTAAAATATTACTCACTTATTCAAATCTTAAATAAGCTACAATCATGTTTTATAATTTCAATTAAGAAGTAGTATTTTCTATTGATCCATTCTAATTAAATAAAAGCAAAGATTTTTCAATTATAAAATCTAATCACGTAATCAATGTGATATTAGAAAATGAAGAGCCAGGAATGTAATTAATATTTTATATTTTAGAATATATAAGAAAGCTATTGAAATCCCATTGAACCTCTAAAAAGATAATCTATTTATATAAATAAATGGTATTCATAAGAAATGCTTCTAAAGTTATACTTCAAATGGATTAATTGTTAATATTATGGAAAATAATGGATAAATTAGAGTATGTGATTCAAATGGAAAATTATTGTCCAAAGTTTATGTGAAAGTATATGTTAAATAGAAAACAGGAGAAAGCTATTTCTATAAGGATGGTTACACTGATCTAAGGGGTAGATTTGATTATGCATCATTAAACTCAGAAGAAATTTCACAAGCATAGACCTTTGCCCTTTTCATTTCAGATATATAACACGGATCTGTTGTTAAGGAAGTGAAAACCCCATCCCTTTTAGGAAAATTTGAGGGGGATGTTAAGCTTGTTTCAACATTATGGTAAAAAAAGGCTGAAAATCAAAGGTCAAATCAAAATTGTAAAACCATGCAATGAAATTGATATTTCATATAATTAAAAAATTAAAAATTTTTTGATCATATCTTTTATTACTAAAAGTGATGTTTTGTAGTATCAATCTATAAGGATAAGTCCTAGCTCAAACTTCTTTATAAATACTTCTTAGTTATTATATTAAAAATAATTCCATCAATACTGAACACATCATATTGACTAATACTATATAGCAGATGAAATATAGTGATTAAATGCACTTCATTTACTTAATGTCCTTATTGTGGATGATATTTATTTTTTGTAAAATGATATAAAACCAGATTATAAGAAGTCAATATTGGATTTCAAAATTTTATTCTTTATCTGCTTCTTTATGGATAATAGTAAATAAAATTATGCAAAATTGTATAGCTTTTCTCTCTTGTTATTAATTTAGTAGAACTTTATTGAATTAAGAGAATCCAAGTTTTATTAATAAAAAGTTATTAAGTTTCTCATAAGAAATCAATATAAAGACACTTAATAGTTTTGATGTATCTTAAAAAATGAGTGGTTGATTATTATGTGTAATGTCAAAATTTATTCAGTCATGCCAAAATTTTAGTAATTTTAATTTTTATAAGATTAATAATTTTAATTATAATGTGTTCTTCTATTCATCTTCATATAGGAGGAGCTGGAGTAATGATAGGAGATATACTATGGAAACTTTATTAAAAGGAATAAATAGACACAAATATCAACAATTATATCTATGATGAAAATGATAGTAAAAATTATCCATTAACTCTGTTTATTGATTTAGATGATCGAATGGTAAATGAAGTAAAAAAAAACAAACTAATAGTTTATAAATCTACCTCCTTTGTTACAGGGAAGGAAGATGGAGCAAACAACTTTTTTAGGGCTCATTATACAATTGGAAAAGAAATAATAGAAAAAAGTTTAGATAATGTGAGAAAACAAGTGGAAAGCATTGACAGAATAGATTAATTCATTATTACTTCTGCTTTAAGCGGTGGAACAGGATCAGGTTTTTCTTCTTTGCTTTTGGAAAGGTTATCTGTTGATTATGGAGTAAAGGTTGAAAAAAATGCATTCTTAATATATCCTTCACAAGAAATGTCTAATAATACTGTGGATGTATATAATGCTGTTTTAGCTAATCGTATGACTTCTGAATATTGTAACACTGTTGTAATGTTGGATAATCAATCAATGTATAAATCTATAGATTATCAGATTGGCTTGGATTATGTTGATTATACTCACTTAAATAATTTAGTATCCTAATTAATTAGTTCTTACACTGGCTTAAGAAGATTTAGTAAGTTTGATAATAACAAATTATTTTCTGGGCTCTGTCCCTATCCAAGAGTTCATTATTTAATTCCTTCATATGGACCTTTAGCATCTATCAATGATTCAATCAATTAAGAATTAAATGAAAAATAACTCATATCATATATAGCAAAACCAGCTTAAAGGTTATTTCAATCAGAAATTAATCCTGAACACTTTTGTGCATCCATAATACATCGATCTAAATAGAATAATTAATTTTTTGGTTAATCTGATTTAACTCTTTAAAAGATGAGGATTAAGTATTAAGAAAGTCCTAATGTGTTTCAATGTTTATCTTAAAATTATACAGTTATTTAAGAACTTGCAGAATTAAAGTAAACAGGTATACTGCTTTCAAATGATGCAAATTTGTTTAATTACTTTGAAATTCTTGGAAAGAAATATGATCAAATATTTTCTAAAAGAGCCTTTGTTCATTGGCTTGTTGGTGAAGGTTGTGAATCTGGAGAAATGTCAGAACGCAGAGAAGATTTAGCTGATCTTATCAAAGATTATTAAGAGTTAAAAGATGGAGCACACCATAATTGTGAAAGGATAGAAGAAGACGATATTGAATGATATTTGTAGATAATTTATTTAAATTATTTTCATTAAATTAATTTGATTTAAAAAGAGCAGTTTTTTACTTAGATAAAGATATATATATTGNATAAGAAATCAATATAAAGACACTTAATAGTTTTGATGTATCTTAAAAAATGAGTGGTTGATTATTATGTGTAATGTCAAAATTTATTCAGTCATGCCAAAATTTTAGTAATTTTAATTTTTATAAGATTAATAATTTTAATTATAATGTGTTCTTCTATTCATCTTCATATAGGAGGAGCTGGAGTAATGATAGGAGATATACTATGGAAACTTTATTAAAAGGAATAAATAGACACAAATATCAACAATTATATCTATGATGAAAATGATAGTAAAAATTATCCATTAACTCTGTTTATTGATTTAGATGATCGAATGGTAAATGAAGTAAAAAAAAACAAACTAATAGTTTATAAATCTACCTCCTTTGTTACAGGGAAGGAAGATGGAGCAAACAACTTTTTTAGGGCTCATTATACAATTGGAAAAGAAATAATAGAAAAAAGTTTAGATAATGTGAGAAAACAAGTGGAAAGCATTGACAGAATAGATTAATTCATTATTACTTCTGCTTTAAGCGGTGGAACAGGATCAGGTTTTTCTTCTTTGCTTTTGGAAAGGTTATCTGTTGATTATGGAGTAAAGGTTGAAAAAAATGCATTCTTAATATATCCTTCACAAGAAATGTCTAATAATACTGTGGATGTATATAATGCTGTTTTAGCTAATCGTATGACTTCTGAATATTGTAACACTGTTGTAATGTTGGATAATCAATCAATGTATAAATCTATAGATTATCAGATTGGCTTGGATTATGTTGATTATACTCACTTAAATAATTTAGTATCCTAATTAATTAGTTCTTACACTGGCTTAAGAAGATTTAGTAAGTTTGATAATAACAAATTATTTTCTGGGCTCTGTCCCTATCCAAGAGTTCATTATTTAATTCCTTCATATGGACCTTTAGCATCTATCAATGATTCAATCAATTAAGAATTAAATGAAAAATAACTCATATCATATATAGCAAAACCAGCTTAAAGGTTATTTCAATCAGAAATTAATCCTGAACACTTTTGTGCATCCATAATACATCGATCTAAATAGAATAATTAATTTTTTGGTTAATCTGATTTAACTCTTTAAAAGATGAGGATTAAGTATTAAGAAAGTCCTAATGTGTTTCAATGTTTATCTTAAAATTATACAGTTATTTAAGAACTTGCAGAATTAAAGTAAACAGGTATACTGCTTTCAAATGATGCAAATTTGTTTAATTACTTTGAAATTCTTGGAAAGAAATATGATCAAATATTTTCTAAAAGAGCCTTTGTTCATTGGCTTGTTGGTGAAGGTTGTGAATCTGGAGAAATGTCAGAACGCAGAGAAGATTTAGCTGATCTTATCAAAGATTATTAAGAGTTAAAAGATGGAGCACACCATAATTGTGAAAGGATAGAAGAAGACGATATTGAATGATATTTGTAGATAATTTATTTAAATTATTTTCATTAAATTAATTTGATTTAAAAAGAGCAGTTTTTTACTTAGATAAAGATATATATATTGATAATATTAATTGTCTCTTATTTAAATTTTCATTAGACAAATAATTTAATTCCTAATTGCATTTAAAATGGAAAAAGAATTATTATTAAATTTATTCTATTATATTTATAGATGTAGTTTAATAAATTTGTATATAATTAATATGTTATTATAAGTGATTTTGATTTAACACTATATTAATCCTTATTTTTTGATAAATAAATTATAAATTTGATATTAATCTAAAATTAAAGAGAGATTTAGAATTTATTTCCATATTTTTTACATAAACTTTTCTCAATTAAAAAAATTGTTTGTTAAGGTTCTCTGGTTTAAAAGAACAATTAACTTGCTAAAGAACCTTTCAAAAAAAATTAGAGGATTAAATAAATTAAAATTTATGATTCTTTTATTATTATCATTCATTCTCTAATTCAAGTACAGTATCAGGCAATTCAGTTAAATGAGGATGTCTTCTAATTTTCGATTATGCTTGACCTTTCAAATGTCTCAAAACTACGACTCTATAAAGGTGTGCTATTTCCCATTAATCTAATGGCATTTTCCTTAAAATTTATATAAAGAAATACCAATCATCACTTGGAGGTTTCACCATAATTTTGAGTAAATTAGAGTGTTTTTATTTATATTTTTCAAAGAAGTCAATAAAATTCAAATTTTCAATGATTTCGAGATTATATTCTTTAGCCTTCTATTCAAATGATTATAATTCGATTAAATATTCTGGTACATATTTAATTTAATTATCTTCTTTAATTCCTACTGAATCTTCCAAATAAAAATAGTATTATTAACCAAATGGTTTATTTTTAGGGAATTAAAGATTCTTAAATTTTAATGAGAAATATTGGTTTTTTGAATATACATAATTACCTTCATTGTCTTTTACTGTAAATTCTCTCATTTTTTTAACTAAAACATTTGCATCAGTTATTGTCATTAATACAATTCCTTAGTTTGTCAATCTACATGTAATATTCTAAAAATTATAAATGTTAAAAATACTTCAAACATATTTTCAACAGCTTATTCAGAAGAAAATAACAAGTTTGCCATAAATTACATACTAACAAAGTCAAAATATAAATCCTATGGTAGTCTGGATCTAAACAAAGTAGAATCTGAATCTGCTTTTGTTTCCATCAAATATATTTTTTAAATTTATTTTTTCTTATCTTCTTTTTA